ACTGATTGCCACGCACATTGGATAGTCACTAGGATAAACGCTAAATTTAGAGTTGAATTGAAAAGGAAATCACATAGTAAATTTAATTCGTGAGAATAGACGAATTTCAGATTTCAGTCTGAGTTCATGCTCGGGCAAATTCGCGCATATTCAGAAGGTTGTGAAGTGGGGAAAGCAATATATATCTGAGTTAACAGCAAGTATATAACAATTAACATAAGATTAATAAAAGAGAATAAACTAATAATGCCTGAATTAAAAATTCAACATAATTCTAGTGTCAGAACACAAGTCCGAAAGCGAACAATTGTTTTCGAATGATTCATAATCATGCCTTTACAGATCTTATTAGGATTTGCTGTTTGTCGGGACACATTTTCACGCTGGGTCAAAAGGTCATTTGGGATGGGTAGAGGAGACGGGTGGGGTGAGCCCTATGTGTCTGTCTGTGAGACTGATTGTGTGATTGGAGTGTTGGTGGTGGTGGTGATGTTGATGATCAATTTGGGGCCAGGGTAAGAGGAGAGTTTGAACCAGTCGCTTTTGTGCACAGTTCTGGTGCGAATAGGCGAATGACTATCGCCTCAGCGGTGGCTAGTGTGTGTAAGCGCACTGCTTTACAGGGGTTTGGGGGTGGGGGGTGGCACACGAAAGATTACGCTGAACGCGGATTCTGGTCTAATGCATCGGGTCAACAATTAAGGTTCCCGGAAGAGACGATAAAAACCAAACTTGTGCAACCCCATGACTTTCATCACACTTTTTCCTCCCAACGCTAAGTGTTTCGTGCCTCACCCGCGGGATCGAATGTAATATTGTCCCACGGCAGACGCAACATACCTGTACTACTGTTCACTTAGTGTCCAAATTCCTCAGTATGGTCGGGGTTGGCTGTCTAGGGTTGCGACTGGTCACCCTCCTCTTGCCCTGTTGCCTTGCGGGTCAGGCTTTAGCTAACTGAAGGCTTCGGTTGTGGATTCCTCAAGAGAATCTCCCTGTATTGACCCGGGGCAACCTGGCAGTATTCTGTCCACATGCAAATCATGGAAAGTATTTCTTTTTCATATTGATTATTGTACCATGATTTGTTTGGCAAACAGTCTGGCGTCAGACGTAGGTGAAATATGCAATATTCACCTATCTTTTTACCTCGTTTGGTTAGATGACAATAAGACGTACAATCTCTCGACACACGTACTGATAAACTATTTTAGACAGCATCGGTGGACGTTTCCGGATTGGTCTCTCTCAAAGCGATTCTATGCACAAAAGTCAATGATAAACGTAGTAACTTCACACGCCGGCATCAGACTGTTGCAAGTCTATTCACGGTTGATCTATATGGGGAATAACAGGAGTTTATTACATCAGTACATTTCTGTTTGTACTGCCCGTTTGAAGGTTTCCTTTATTCCTGTTTGCTTCAATTTTTCCCTTATTGTACAAGCATTATTCGGGAAGCGGTTGCAAGCCAGTCAAATTGTTGGCATGCGATACTAGGAAAAAGGAAGGTTAGACGGCGTTAATCAGATTCAAAAATACAACCTCCGGATGAGGTGAAGATAATGGCGAACACCGCTTAGTCTGCGCCTACGCAACGACTTGCTACCTCCACCAACACAGCTGGTGGTATGTAACCGGATAATGGGCTATGTTGGAGTATAAACGGACTAACCGAGTCACATGACCAAAGGTCATCTTCCAATATGACCTCAGTTCTGTACACGTAAGCATCGCCACGAAAAAATGAAAGGCGACACACCAACACAATCACCATCCCAAAACACGCTCGCCGCACATAAACATCTGTCGTTGGACATCTCTTCAAAATGGTTGATGGCCCGCAGCTGACGTTGCGATCTCTTGTGAAAATACTGTCGCACGGTGTCTTCAGTTTATAGCATTTGTTATGAATTAGAATTGGTCCATGTGTGCAAAAAAACAACTGTCCTTTACACGCCCCTCGTCTTGGTAGAGTAAATATTGGGTCCTGTATAATTTGTGTTTATTCGGTGAACTGTCCAATAAAAGAGACTGATATGCAAGTAGATTGCCGGTTTCAGAACATAGTGCTTATGAAGAGGCAGAAAAAAGATCTAGGGTTGTTTTGCTCTCCGTGTCACTTTGGCACTGATTTGAAAAACAATCATTTTGATTTGCGAAACCGTCTCTTTAAATCAAGAAACCATTACTTTCAACTGAGAAAGAAACGCTGTGGTTGGATCCGATGCCGTTCACCGCACCTCTGATCGATTTATCACACGTTTTTTCTACCCCAGGATTGACCACCTGTCTTCCCGCGCTCTTTCTGTGATGAAACTAGCCAGACCTCAGTCTTACATTTTGTCAAGCTCGCTGACGGACGTCGATTTGGTGGGTCGGTGAGGCCGTGCGATTTGCTTTAGATAGTTAAGCTGGACCCGACTCGATAAGCACGAAGCGTTACGTACTGTTTCGTGCGCGCCACGGCTAAGTCATGACTGATTGTAGTTGACCCCATCAACGCTGCATGCTCATACACTATCGAAGCCTTCTAGCGGTGTGTGATTGATCAGCGTTCAGCACAAATTTCCCTACCTCCTGCTGACGAGCACAGGAGACCGTTGTGAGACGTACCTTGATCACACACGCCCGAGTTCCCATAACATATCTCGGTTCTTTAACTTGGTAACATACATACACGTCTGTGTGGTCATGGTTCATGTGCGATCAACGTTTTCAGTGAGACATTGATAGTTGCTTAATCGTCACCACGTCCACGACTAAAAGCAACAGGTTGTCCGGGGCACAAAGTGACTCAAGTATCGTAAATGCACCTCAATGGAGAGTTTTCCAAGAAGTATGGGTTCCCGAAGAACGAGGTCATCTGTGGGGCAGTCAAACACCCCTTGTCAGTGTGCAGGATAAAAAACGATCCGTTTATCATAAAAATTATTCGTTTCGTTCAGTTTCTATTCATAGACTCACTCAAAATGTTCTCCATGTGTCTTATACTTGCAAATCCACATAACTGATTGCATGCATCACTCAGATCGCCGCTTCGGCGCTAGTATTACATGTATTCACTACACCTGGTAGCCTTACACACTCTTAAGCTGTTACACAATCACATTGGTGTTAGAACAGAGAAATAAGACAATGCAGTGAGTTCAAACGGCCCAATTCAAATCATGGTTCCAAGGTGCGTGCATGAAAAATTCTCTTGTTTACACGAAAATCGATTGCGTAATTGACGACAATCAAGCCACGTCATCACTGATTTCTTGCGAGTCGTAGTTCACTTTCGACTGTGAGAATTAATGTCACAATCGCCGATTTTTTGGCAAACGCAAATCTGGCTGCGACAAGTGAAACAATGCTTGACACTATGCTGCTGGTAACATTTTATTCCAAATGGTTGTAAATTTTGAATTTGAAGACCCAGTAAAATAGCAGTAAACGTGGTGTTCCTTGGTGTGATCAGATAGCTTGAAACGACTGATGAGGATCGGCGAAGTCTACTCGGAGGTTCACATCAGACAACCGTACTCACTGGATTAGATCTTGATAAGAATGCGTCTACTTCAATCCTGATAGATTCAAATAATTCGAAACAAACACACAGACCAGTGTCGTTGCACATTTAATCTCATTTCGGAATAAATTGAAGCATTCTCGTTTTGCAAAAAATCATTCTGCGTTTAAGTGTTTTCGGAATTGCTTATCCCACTTATAAATCGATTTTTGTTTTGTTGTTTGTCAGACCTGTGTAAAAAAAACGAAACTCCAAGAGAGAATACATTTTTTCCATCGAGTCACAAATGATAGTTTTTTCTGCAAATATGTTGTCTGAATCAGACCGCTCGTTGCGGGCAGGGCGAGGAAGGGGCTAAGTAAAACGGGCACACACGTGCTCACGCGTATGCAAGTGCAAGCTCTCTCTCTCTCACACACACACACACTCACACACAGGACCACAAAAGAGCATACCAAACTCTTATCTTGTTCCAAGGAAAACAAAAAAAAAAATAGAATGGAAATAGACAAATTTCGGCAAGCATAGATGCCCTTGCGCAGGTGTTGTTGTCTATATGTATATATATATATATATATATATGTGTGTATGTGTGTGTGCCTGTGTGCGCCACGAAAAATGTTGAACTGAAATGAGGTACACGGAGCACACGAAAGAAAAAAAAAGATAAATTAGATTAAAAACTATCTGAAATGAATCACCATATTCGCATAACCCGTTGGAATATGGATAGAAAGCGTCCAGTTTAGCTACAAAGCTAGCACAATGCCCACACACATGAACGAGAAAATGTTGAAGGTAAGATAATCAGCAAATAACGGGGTGAGTGGAGGGTTAGAAGTGTTGTTGTTGTTGGTGTTAGAAACGGGAACGAGATTTTGGCGCTTACGACGAGCAAAAACATAACTCATTGAAATGGTCTGGAAACTACGAGTCTTATCTATTTCAAAGAATGCAATAAGACGTGTGGAACCGAGGCAAGGATGGACAGGGATTGAAACAACTCACGGACAGAAATTTCAACACATGGGAGAAACTCTAATGGTTTCGTTAACATGGATCAAGATAACAGTACCAAATGTCGAAACGCTTATCCAAACACAAATGTGGTAGATTCAGGACTATTTTAGCATGATGCAATATAAACACAATGTGGTTTGCTCTATACAGGAAATAATCTGTCGTGCATTCGGTGACATAAATAACTAATCATGGTTGGTTCTTACGTTGTATGTTTTGAGCGAAAAAATAATGTTTTCTTTCTTTCAATGGCACGGGGAGGGATAGGCTCTTACTTGTTCTCGTTAGTTTGTGGACATCAGTGATGGTGGATTGGGAAAGCACGAGGTAGCACACAAAGTTATTTACGGAATCAGCATGGTCATTTCTTGTTCAACCGATGAAACACGATGTGGGAGCAGCCGACTCCAACGGACGATACAAACCGTGTAAAATATCCGGAGTTGTTCATAAGTTATCATGGATTTCAGTTCCGAGATCGGGGTCTCAAAGTGACACGTGAAGTGGATCGGATGGTACTGAGTCGTGCAGCGGTCGTTTTGTTGTTCACAGTACTAGACGTAGTGTTGCTCTGATTCGCACCGGTTGCGGTTGTGACCACCGAGTCGGTAGTCTGTGTCAGATCTGCTGTAGACTGTGCCAAACCGGGAGCGGAGTCACTAATTGAGGATGAGGAATCCAGCTTATCTGCTGCATCTTCCCCACCCTGAGACTGAGTAGCCAAAAGGCCAGTTGCTGCACCAGATTCTCGAGCTTGCCGAAGCCAATTGTTCAATTCAGAAAGCGTTATGGCTAAGGTTTCGGCCTGACCAGTCAGAATGCGTAGGTTCCAGGTAACGATGTCGGCTACCTTTGACATTCGACGCAAATATAAAGTACCACCACTCGATCCCGAAGTATGCTTATCGTCATCTCGTCTATCCTCCGGACGCGATGAGCCCAAACGTGGTGCTCGATCGTTTGAAGATCGAAGTAGAGTTGACTTGCGCAAACTTCCTCCGGGATGATCACCATCACATTCCGATTTTGATTTGTCTGATACGTCAGTCGACTTTCCAGTGCCTGACTGATTGGGCTCCTTCAATCCTTCCAAAAATGTTGTGTACGCCTCTAGTGCTGTCTTTTGGATGTGTTGTAACTGGCACAAAAAAATGAAAGGTGAAGACAGATATTTTTCAAGACAAAGTAAATGTTTTATTGAAACTTGTGACTGTGCTAACAGTTTGAGAAATGAAGGTATTAGGAAAACAGAAAACCATGGAAATAGATCAAAATTATTTTAATATGTAGATTTATAACCCTTGTTCAATGAAACACACTCACATAAGTTAAAAAACCAATAGAGCTAGAGTGTTTGATCGGTTTCTTTACTTACAAAATAATTTCGCGTTGGTTTCTAAAAACACAAAGAATCATTTAAACACCTGAGATGGATGCTTTTTCCGAGAGGAATTCCGTCAAGTGGATGAGTGATGATGCTTGTGAAACAGCATTTGGCTGATTAGAAAAATTAGGTTCCCTGGTCCGATCCCTCCCTCTTTATCACAAATGACTTCTATGTTCAATACGGCTATTGTTACTTGGGGTCACTATTTTCAACCAAATTTAGAGGGATGAGTTTGGATGGTAACTGCCTCCGCTGTGTTTGAAGTGGTTGGCATAACTCTTTTAGCAAGACGAATCTTCATGAGTTTTTAGCATTCACACATTGGCTAGTGCTAATTGGGGTGATCTATATTGTAGCTTCGGAGTGGTTTTGCGGCATCCTCCCAAGCTTAGCAAACCAGTCGGGCGTTCACGTTCCGCACGTAATTTTTAATAATTATCAGAGTCACTCATGGTTTCAAAATTCGCACGAGAAGACTGTTACCTGCGGTCATTGCTTATCTGGCATTCTCAAGACGAATACGTAAAATCGACCGGTATTCTCAGAGGTCATGTTTCACAACTGCGAGGTACAACACCGACCAGAGTTTCGAGCATGTGCTTGTGACTAGCACACAGTTAGCACGAGTGGGAAAGGACACTGTCAATCGCCTCGAATCGTAAACATGACAAGTAGGCTGGTATTTTGAGCAGCAAGCATGCTATCGTTACACGGCTGGTAAACAAGAAACGACAAGAGTATTACAACCATTTTACTGACCTCCAGTCACCATTTAAGGAAAATCCTACGACAGCTCATCAATGATCCGATCAGATTTAGTGTTTTGAAACTCCAAATGACATCATTAAACAATTCTAATGTCAAATTCAGAAGGTGAAGCGTACGTAGACATGTTCCAAGTGACTTCATTCTGAACCAATTTTCCAGCTATTCCTTCGGGATTCATCTGACTCGACAGTGATTCTAGGTCAAATGAATCCAATCACGTTACACTATAGAGTTGCAGGTGATTGTGCTGAAGTGGTGGTGGTGGTAGTGGTAACAGACAAACAAACAAACAAATCCGGTTGAATAGCATAGACTCCGATTGGTTGAAATTACTGGCCTGTGGTTCGTTGCCCATACACTGTACCGTGTCGCACCGTGGCTCACGTTATTTCGTAGTCTAGTATCACCACATAACCCCAGTTATCATATGAGGGAATGCCAGTTATAGTATATGTGAATTGACGTACGTTGTCAGCTCGTGCTTCATTTTAGTTCAGCAGTCATGGGCCATTGTTGATAGTAATATTCAGAAAGATACAGGACCAAGAAAATATTATAGGTCCTATTTCTGGCATACAATAACCTCTACTGAGTTCTTTCAGAAGAAGCAGACATACCAAAGATTTTATTCGAACGGTTTTAAATTAGATGAGTGGTGTTGTTCACTATCTTAAGCGCATAGTTCTTGCTAGATGAAGAACGATTTTCGACACTAGAACCAACTCAGCTCGTTTGCATGTGATTTAAATCTCACACACCAAAATGAAACGCGGTAGCCTTGGATTTCTAGATCATTCAGGAATACTGTTGAGCGGTAAAACAAACGAGGTGATCAAACAAACTGTGAACAGAAGAGACTTGTGAACTTCCAAATTCTGTCCGGTAAGAACCATTGTCCATATCTGTATGTGACGCTTTCTGTTCTCTCCCTCCCCCACTTCTCATGAATTGTCTTTTTTCGCACACTTTCACACCTGTTTTATTCATTCTGAACTAACACCTTTCATATCGTGTCAAATTCACACATTTTTATCCGGTTTTCCCTATCCAATTATCTTGATCCCACAGCTTGTTGTCAACCAAACATTTTGCACACAGACATTCATTCAACATCAGCTTAGGCGCTGTATTTTTCTACTGACTAATCGAACTATATATGTAAATGCCTGAAACGATATATCGAAAAGAAATTTCCTCGAGTTTCGACTTTGTTCTTATGCAACAATGGGAATATTTTGCTATTGGAAATGAACAAACACATATGATCCGTGAAGCACACACAAGAACGTGTTCACTACATGTTTTCTGAGATCACAAATGTCACGATCACCCTTTTGCTCGAAGTGAACACAATGCCTAGACCAGTCACCGTTGTGCATACACCATCAATCTGCCATAATTGTACGTGACTGGCTTTGGCAGTCCCAAGTGTCTGAAGCTTTTTTAATGTGGTCATCACGGATTATATTATATTATTTCTGGAACCCGGTTGACACAGGCTTCCGAAGTAAGCGGATTGCAACAGTTTGAATTAAATACATAGATTGTATGAGGATAGCAGAAAACTTACCATAGAAACCCTTTTCAATGGACATAATCTCGTTGCACGCAAACATACATTTGGTAAAACGTCGGACATTATAGGTGAATAACACGAAAAAGAACAGTTCTTTCTTCATAGCCGTGATGGAGGCCATTAATAACGGTCGCCTGCGTGCGGTAAATATACAAGTCTTGTTAAACAGTACTTATTACTGCCACAAAATTCCGGTGACCAAGGATTTTCGTTTGGACCACTCTTGGCAAACAGCTTTATAACGAAGATGGAGTCTTCAACACTCAAGCTATCACTCAGTTTGATCGTCACTTTCCGTATTTAGAAGGCGTTCTAGTTTAATCTACAATTAAACCAGCTTAGATGCATTCTTGGCAACATTCAGTGAGGCACACCTGTCGAGAAACCCTCCACATGATCTTAAAGTGGGAGACAAATGTCATTTTTGTAAGCTTTATTGTGAAGATGTTCTAAGGATTCCGAATAAAGAAAAACATTTTGCAAAATAGCGTCATCTGGACAATAAAATGTTTTTTTACAGTTTTGTGTCCATTATTCAATAGTAAAATTTGATGCAATACCACACATACTTATTTGGACTATGCGCTTAACAAAGAACTGGGAAAAATTTGGTCAGAAAACCATTATCTCGATACGTTCACCAACTGACTGAATGGGAGGAAACCAAGGAGTTCATCATTCATGAGAAACATTTTCACCAAGAGAGTCAGTAGAATCCAAGACAGTGAAGTTTACCTTCAATACTGTAAAACTGCCCCCGTAATCTGATGCCAGAACAAAGAAAGACTACCTCTACCGATTTTTTTCCAGGCCTGTGTAAGAATGTATGTGCACTCGTGATGATTTTTGTACGATCAGACAGCTGTGTAAACATATCAGCGAACAAAACCTGAAATCGTTATGGCACGGAGTGAACGGGTTAGCATTCACCATATAAATCGCCCATTTGGTAGAGACAGGTCACCAGAGCCACCATAAATCAACGTCCTTTATCACTCACCGGATGTCAACACACTCAGAAGGCTTTAGACATCAGAGATTGCCCATGCGAGTGACGCACAACTATCGAAGTTTGATCTATGTTCCTAATGTAATGGGATCCAGGAAATGTCAACAACCCGGGCAAAAGTTAGCCTTGGCTTATGTGATCGAAGTATTACTGTAACGTGGTGAGAAGAGATGCGTTGACCGCAGTCCTTCTATGTTTATCACACGGATCGTTTGTTTCTTTACTTGTCTTTCAGTAGTGGTAGTAACGGCAGCGGCAGCAGCAGCAACACCACTGCTTGTAGTGATGCTGAATTTGAGGATTTGTATTTCTATGTAGTAGGTGTATACTGGTCCAACCAAAGAAGCCGTTAACTGCCTAAATTATCCATTATGGCCGACTTTTGGAGATATCCTCTGAGATGAATGTCTCACAGGATAAACATGAATTTCTCACATTGCTATGTTAGGTAGGATATCAATTTTTTCTATGTATGGTTACTCCAATACCGTTGTTTTAGGTTCCGACTCAATGAAACACAGAGTCCTCTCATTTTCGAATACCCATGAATGATGCCTATTGATGTTTGCATGAATCTTTCAATAAAACATCAAACTGGTTGTATTGGAAACCTATGAGTTATGATATCTATCAGCTTTGTCGATTTTCTGATATTATTTTAGTCAAGCAAAGTATGCCTAGAAATATCTTCATTATCAAACCCCAGATAATTTAAATCTTCTGCTAAAATAGGCTCTTAATAGTTCTGACTCACCTTGACTCGTAGGTATGGACCTTGTTTGATCATCATCTTGCACGCCTCGATCAACTGCGTTGGGAGAAGATACAGAAAGAAACACAGAATGAATGTACCACAAAGTCTAATAAACAGAAACCCATGAGCAGGCATATTTGAGATCCAATTGAGAACAGTGATCAGGGGAGTTTAACCAAATGGTTTCGGCTCAGTAACCAAACACTCTATGAAGCGTCTGGTATAATGATGTAGTCAAAATGTGATGGACAGAATTAACGTTTTCTTTTCGCACATCTTAAACCCGGCTTCATCCTCATACGGTCAAAAGTTCGCCAAGTGAAATTTCAAAAGATTTGAAAAAAATATAGATGAATGAGCTGTTGTGAATAAAATACAGTGAAATGCATTTCCTATTGAAAAACCAGCAGTTGGTCGGCGTTGCTTGCTCAATATTGAGTAGTGCTGGTAACTTGTAAAATTCTAGAGGCTTTTTTATGAAGTGGGAAAAGTCATATGGTATTTGACTATTGCATCATGCTCTGTATTTTGAGAAGAAAAGCTCCAATGTACGTTTAAATATCTGGAAAGTAGATGTAGTGTAGTAAGGTGGCGCGAATAATATCCTTAAGGACTTCCCTGCACACCAACATAACGTTTTCACAGGGTTAGGAAGTTGATTACAAAATACATGCAAAATTGAATGTAGAAGGTTTACATTGTTCAAATTAAGCTACATAGGATGTATTTTCGCTAACTGGAAAGGGTTTTCTACCGATTGATTGCAACGGCTTTGACAACGCTGAGCAATCTAGCACAGATGATGTAGATCAGTCGAGAATTCCTTAGATCGCAAGCCGTTGCATCATAAACAATTGTTTGAGTAATGGATGGGGCACAGTGTATTACGTACAAGGTCCAAGTTGGACTCTAACTGTCTTGAAACCAACAGCGATTCCGAATGGTTTCTAGCTTGTGATGTGAATATAGGTAAATACAAATTAAACACAAAAGATTTAGGTAGTTGACGAAATCCAATCGAGTGAAGCCTAACTAAATGTTCGACAAAGGCCTGGTGCGATTATGAATCAAATGAACCAACCCAAACAACATGATACATATATATAATTTGTGGTTCAAAGTCGTATCTGCCCCTCTTTTCCATTGTTATTCCTTCCTTTTGTCCCAGTATGTTTAACCGAATACTTTTTCATTCCTGTCATTCCGCATGATTTTTCGCTGAAGCGTTCAACAGACTGTCATTTAGCATGGATAACAATGGGTCCCTTGTAGAGTGTTTTGAGGAGAGCATGAGGGTAGCCCATATGCGACTCATTTTGGCAGTCCACCGCACGTTTTCGGAGCATAATCATGTCCTCTTATTGATGGATGACATGTTCATGCAGAACACTTTCACGTAGTAAATAAAACCAGTCATTCGATGGATCAGTTCATCTAAGAATAATAACCCCAATATCCAATCCTACATATATATTTATTATTTTGTGCATAGTTTGTTAAACAATTCACCGAAAAAATTTGTTATTATCATGTGTCCATTATTATTGTGAGGTATCCAACCTTTTAGGTTAGGGCAAAGTCGACTACAGAATCTAATTGTTTAGTAAGATTGGTTAAAACTACGAAATGTCAGCGACATTCTGCCAACTAGAATAGATGTTTTTAAGTGCCTGTTTGTTATCCTTCAGGATTTCGTTGGTTCTCCTCATATATTTGCTATTCCCTGAGAGACTGCGCAATAAAAAATTTCAGTATTCTGCTAACTCTCATTTCAAGGTTTTATTCACATTGTAGGGAAACTCCCTGGATAGAGATGCAACTTGAGTCCTATTCAAATGAAAAAAAATGTAAGAGGAAACAAGAGTCAGAAACGGTATTGTGAAAATTCCATTTGAGATAGCTGACATTCTTTCAGGGGGAGATAATCACTTACAAGTTCGAATTCGTTGACTGTGCGCCTCATTTTATCGAGACCACCAAGGGAAACGGAAGACACGCTACTGGTACTGGATTGGATACTTGGACGCCGAGGTAAGCCAGTGCTCAGCGGTGATGTCTCCCTTTGGCTGAGTGAATCAGGATTTAAATCGATCGACAGACTGGAAGCTGTTTCTTCATCTATCGACCTAGATTCTCGTTTTAACCTTCTGGCGAAAAGCACTTTTGGTGACAAAATTAGTGAAGGAGATCGCTGAAGGCCACTTGGGGCTGGAGAAAAACGCACGGATTGAGAAGTTCTTGAACCACCGTCACCCAAAGTTGATAAACTGGGGTACACGGAGAGGTTTGAACCAAACACAGGACTGGTTGCTTGGAGTTCAAGATGTGGCAGATCGTCTTCATGTCGAATTCGCATACGAATTGGCCAAGCCTCTGGATTTCCACATGCCGCAGTCAGTCGTGAGGCCAAGGACCGAATACATTGGGCCATCGACATAGTGGAGGAGGTCTCACCGCAAATTCGGCGGAAATTGTCAAAAGCAATCATTAAAGAAGAACGCAATTCAGCAGCTTGGTGCAATGTTGTTCCCGCACTCTAGCAGTTGAACAAGAAATCAGAGATATGTGTATAGTGAAGTAAATTTAGATCTAAACTGCACTAGAATAAAAAACATGAATATAAAGTTTGGTTTTTCAGATTAGACCTGATTGGTTAACAAAAAGTTAAAGATACCTTAAAACTAATAAATTCTGAAATTTACGGTCGTCGCCCGTCACGGAGAAGTTATCAAACATCACAAAGTTCAAAAACGTGACAGTGAAAACGATTGTGCCTTTTATGGTTCTGCCTAAGCGAAATACTTACCCAAAGACAATTGGGGTTTTCACTCTAATTTACTCACGAAGATAAGCTTTTCATCAGAAAAGCAAGCCTTAGTACCACCGAAGTCAGCAAAGTGATTTCAAGTAAAATACTTCAAGTAATATGCAAACGGCATTGATATTCCTGCTTATAATGGATTGGGGCTCAATTCACCAAGCGGATTAGACACGGCCATTTTGTTTTCTTATAGGATTAATTAATTTTGATAATAGCTGAACAAAAAGATAAACCAGAACAAACAGAACAAATAGGGCGCCACCGGTTGCCAAATAATACCGCTACTGCGGAGAATAAACCAGTTTACATACCGCTAGGGCGACACAACTGCTGAAATGGTGGTGACACATAAGCTGAGTACAGTTGTAGAAAAAGCATTCCCCGTAGCAAAGCCGCGTATTGTGTTCATCTTTAGGCCACTTCTGTGCTTTCAACTTCAAGATAAATTACCTGTTTCTGAGTGTACTTATTTACCTGTTCCTGTAGGGTAAGGTACATTGGCCGCACGAGCAGACATTTATTTGAACGAGTCCGTGAGCACCACCCGGCCTGACTGAACAGTGGAGTAATTTGAACCATTAATAGCTCAACCGTTTCACATCTAGTGGAATCAAACCACTTAGTTAATGGGGCCGAGCCGTTTCGACCCTTCTACTTGATTCAGACCCGCCGATCTAAGAGGATTAGGAGTCGCAGTTGGGCAACAATGGAAGGGATCGGAATCCACCTACATACACCCCCCTCATATTCTCCCAAAAGCAATTCACAAGAACACTCGGTCTTCCATGGCCAACACCACACACGACACAGTCCTCCAGCCACCCACCTATAGTGACCCGAACCAGTGGGGACCAAAATTTAAGCAACATCCGGTCATGGAACTGGAATGTTGATTGTCTCTTTTCCAACTTGTCATGATTTCTCCCCCCTTCTAAACAGCTTGATATAAACTGCGACGTATTGGCCTGTAGAAGAATTACCGCAAACGAGCTTGTTCGCTAATTTGTGTTTTCTTATCATGGGTAACGATGGTATATTCGGAAAATTTTGAACTTTTTTCCGCATCCATTCAGAAGGACATCTAATTGAAATCCTCAGTAAGGTAAAAATATGTAAGGTATTTCCGAAAAATTGTTATCATAGCTGAATCTATAGAATTCTATCCGAAAAATCGTTTATTCTACCAGGTCATGTTTCACTCGAGGTTTACTAGCTTTTGGTAAATGATTTAATGGTTCTCTCCAAAGCCATGAAAAATTTCACACAATCATACACACACGCGCACAAACACACAGTTCCCATTCGTCAAACCAAATCTGAGGGCCATTGCACATCTGGTTGCTATGCTTAACGGTGATGGGAATATACTCACATTCGGTATCATTTTAACTGCATAAGGCAAATTTGCAAAGAACAACCACATAGCCAAAATCTTCATCTCAAACTTGGTTGACTCGACAGATACAATGATGCATAAGACATTCAAGATCCAATAACTTTTGATGACCTATTCACCTGCCTGCAGCTTATCTAGCCCAATATTACCCTACTTATGTATATGGTGAATAATGTTGCTAGCTTATAATTTATTTGTAATCTCTAAGCTGAATTCGGTGGTATCAAGCAGTTAGTTTTTCCTATTGTAAGGCTTACCTTTTTTGAAGGCTTGCGAGAAAGACCCCAATTGTCTTTCAGCATGTATTCCTCGCAGGCAAGATCGCAAGAAAGGCTATGAGTTTCCACTATCGTGGGTTTAAATGTATGAGCCTTACCCCCTCCACAGGGAGCATTCTACCCGGATTGACAGATTTACGTATATATTTATGTTGGTTACTCATGAGTAGCCTAATTAGCAATATGAATTTTCACCTTACATACAAATAGATTTTAACGGAGCGACATGCACCTCACTAAAGAGTTCAAGCCTTATAGTTCTGGGTTCTGAATGTAAGTTTGCCATTGGAGTTTATAATTTACGTTATCAATAAGATTAATATATATGAATAATATTTACGTTTCACACAGGGCTTTCTTGCCTCTGTTTATGAGCTAATTTGCTTCGGAATTCCTTTAATTGCTTTGGTTAGTGCCTATTTTCCTAGTAACTGGCAATTTTGGTTATCGAGGATTTTAGGTTTATTATTGCTTTAAGCATTTTCCAAGTTACAACGGAAATATGCCTAATGATTTGTTCGTAAAACTTGTTCCTGTTACTCGCGGTTGCCTTATTGGTGCCATTTTCTCTTTCATTCAGTAATATACAGTAACATAGTTTCGAGGATTCGATTCTGAAAACTAGTTCAGTTCTATTTACCTTCCAGACCATTCAAGCTCATTTGCATAGAAGTACTTCTGTACTGAATCTAGAGGCGATAATCCAACTAGAATAAAATTGACCCACTAGGTGGTATATTGATATCCAAACCAAAGCGTGATTTCTCTTGATTCCAAGTCCACAAAAAACCTCAAGTTGCGTTATTATCCCAGATAAGATACGACGAACAGTAAGACTCAACTTACACTTTTCAAACAATACAGATGGATTTGCTTCCCACTGTTATGCGTAAGATACATTTATTTCTCATTTCGCATCCTGTTTTGTTTATCGATTATTCACATTACCAAAATGTGAACACATATGACTGTCTGTTGGGTTCGATTCTCGATGAGTCGGTGAATTAGCACTTTTAAGGAGATCGAATAAGGCCGAAACAAAGGGTGTACTGCTTTCTAGCTTTTTAGTTTGTGTGTTGTTTGCTTTGTCCAAAATGACATTGGCGGTATAAATAATTTCATAGTTATTTGTCTGTTCACTGGTTTCACAGGGTGACTCGAGATAAAAGAGTCTAAACCACAGGCGATTGTTTGTTTCACCGGGGGGGGGGGGGGGGGGGGGGGGGGGGGGGTGGCGGTGGGTGGAGGGAACTACTGCATTAGTGAATGATCTAATCGATCCTGTGTTCAGTCACGTAGGGTGATGATCAGGTATTAACTCGGACAATGGTCCGATCACGAAGTCTGTGCATTTTGTTCCACAAGAACAATGAAATGAGCATAGACCGAACGAAACGGCAGAGTTAGACATTTTGTTTTTTTACTAGTAAACATGCTTGCAAAAAGCCGTGTTAGATAATTATCACATAGAGGTCTTGTTTTCTTTTATTCACATATACTCTATGCTTGGATAAGGTTTATGTGGAAAATCGTTCTAGATTACATTGCATACGACCCGATTGAACATCATTATAGACGCCACTATTTCACACATTGCTGATTCCAATTACACAGTGAGTGTGAATAAAGCGTTTGTTGTCCCCGTTGTGTTGGGAGTCAACGGTATAAGCGGATTTGAGTGAATATCCTGGCTACACCCGAAGCAACTGAAACTCATTTAAACACGTCAATTGAGATCCCAAAACACTCAAATGTGGTTGGTTCTCGTTACCTAACGCAATGTATCACATGCAAAACTTAGATAAAAACTGGATAGCCAGNCTAATCACATCCGGTTTGTGCGGCTTGACTCTCTAATCGTTATCAAACTGGTTCTATAAAAAGTGATGCTTTATACAATGCGATTTATCAACCAGGTAAACAATCGTTAAAAAACTATATTGTTCACTGAACTGTATCAAAATTTAGTGTGTGCTTCTAGTAGGTTCCCGGAATAAACTCCACGTGTAACATGATAGACCAAAATGTGTTATTCTCTGTCAGACCAATACATTAGTATAGTTTTTTCCCATCACTCGTCACTCTCAAAATATTTCCTATCAAGTATCATTAGGTGGTTATGGTTGTTCCTCCTTACATATGGTAAAAGTATATCTGCTGAGTACAACTGTTCCATTGTTTTTAACAGAACGGAGAGGCTTAAAAAAGAAAAAGGATTTTAATATACCCGGAAGAGAGATGTCTCCGTGGCATCTGAAAGAACTAAAAACACCCAAAATGTGGTCACGAAATCGGTTTCTAAAAGACAATAATTTCTACATCTTGTTGGCATTCCACTTTTGCACTATCTTCTCCGCCGCATAGAAATTGACCGAAACCAGAATCACATAAATGTTAGATCACCACCCTACTTCGCGTGTGTATTGACCCTGTGGCATTCTACAAACGATGTCCTGCTAAGGACAGGAACCAGTTTTAAGCTTGACTAAAGTCTGAAAATGGCACAGTCTGCCCCGTTTCCGAATGGGCATCACGTTTTTCTTAAATGATTCGAGGTGTATGCACGTGTATAAACAGTTATATCTGAAGGCCATTACCTAATGCGTGCGGCTGTGCAGTTGAGTTACGTCACAGTGCTTCTATTCGGACAGAGTTAAAGTGTTAGATCATTAAACACACGGTTACTGTGCAGCTTTTGTTGCGTCTGTTGCCGTTTTTTAAACTGGAAACACCAGGTTTTCTTGCTCGAATACTATCAGCAACGCATAGATTTGACAGCAATACATACATATAGGTCGCCTTAGGCTCCCCGGATAGAAACCTAGGGATGATCGCAACCGATAGTGATATGTCTGAGTGCCGCAAACAGTGGCGTTCTTGTATCTTCTTAATTTATTGGCAAACTTAGACCACTGAAATTCCCCATTTTCTGTTTGACTATTTTCAACTTTCTTGTCTTTCTTCTATTCTTCATCGAAATGGGCGGCTAAAAGACAGCAATCAAAACCGACGCATGAATGTGCACGGTTAATGGTTGTACAAACTGAACTGAACATAACAATTACTTTTTCTTAGAGAAGCCTTCAAAGTTGAAAGCCAAATTACAAAATCATAAGCAAACTCACTTGTTAGACCGACTCCTTGGCAGATGGAGTTGCAAGTGCATAACTTGATGATGTTTTACAAAGTGTATGCCTTGCTTGAGTTAGAAAAATATAATTAGGTGAAAAATAACAAAATATCCGTTGTGAACTGTTCTACTTTTTGGTGTTTCTGAAACAAAACGCTATCCTAGTCTCCCTCTCTCTAAGACTGTAAAGTCGATACATCAAATTACTACTTAAACCGGATTTAGGTATTCTGCAGCTTCTTAAGTGTGCTTTGCATTTAGAACTTACTGGATGCAAGATGGGACATTGCAGAACTAATTTTATCGATGTTTGATAAAAAAATGGTCGGATTTGTGACATTCAGGAACCGCACAAATTTATTTTAAATAATTCTGTTCAAAACTGATTAGCTTTTATTCGACCCTAGAAATCCAAAAATAAGAACGAAAACAACAACGACAACAACAACAAAAAACAACACATTGTGTATGCCAGTTTACACAGGCGTAAATAAATAGAGCAACAGTACAATACAGTGTATCACGCTAAAATTAATCTGTCAATCAATGGAAATGAATAAAATCACATGTGTAAACCGCTTACTTTGAATAATTCGTCAAAGTTGGATGTCCCTACTTTCTTGAGTTGGATCGCTTGTCGTTTTCGTGACCGCCATCGTTGAAGCACACCGGTTGACGTGGGCTACAAAAGATCAAAGTTACAATAAAATCAGTTGTTGACATTTGGTGAACAACTACTTAAGTCGCTTCATTCGCTCTGACTCAGGCAGCTTTATTCATTTTACAGCGATCATCAAATGGGACTTATCCATAACTCGGTCGTCTCGTAAGTCGTGTGCCTGAGCCTCATCAATTCTGGTGTACGCTCTCACTTGTTTTGGGAAGGCTTTGATAAGTGATGGTTTCTTTGAGGAATATCGAATATGTCATTGTTGATGTCNNTGATGTCATTGTCTTTGTTATTATGAAAGCAATCACTTCCCTAATAAAATGGCATGAAGGGGATTCCGTTTATGCAGAATCTAACAATCCACTATAAGCGGTCTGGTTTAGGTGACGTTAAGAATAAAAAATAACTTTTATTAGGGACCAACGGTAGATAAGTGCCATTTTATCGGTCCTTTGGTCTGAATGTACACAGAGGTGGAATTTTTCCGAAGGTGAAGGAAAAGATGCTTTGTTTGATTAGATTGGTAGGTGGATAGATCGTCAAGGTATCATGTTGGTACATACAGCTCTTTCATTTCTTATCACAGGATTACAACTCATTGAATAATGTCTAATGAGCTCATTAAGATAAATATGTTAAGCCAAGAACAATAATTTCATGTAAGTGTTGCCATTGAAGTGGTATTGTACAGTCCAAAAAGGATCAGTCACCCCGCCGCTCGGATTCAAAAGCATTTTCATTATCAACGCTCTAGTGGGCAAAAATAAGAGGTAATACATCCTCAATCAACTATCCACTTATAGCTTCCTAATATAAAAGGACATCAGTCTTCTGCGCAGTTTGATAGTCTTCCGTTCGTTTTTTCAGTTAGTGATTAGAACCGATGATTTATTTATTGGTTTTTGTTAAAAGCCCTCTATGCAAGTATGAAATGACACGAGGATGAATAATAGTTGCATCTCGGATGTTACCTTTGGCAAACCTCTGAGTTAGCCTATGACTTTTAATTTGCAGTTTTACCGCTTTGGATATACATTAAGACCGTTACTTTTACTTAAAACTGTTATCATCTAGAATATACCAAATGCCATTTAGAATTGAAATGCTTGTTCTATCGCCATTTTACTTCATCGCTAGCCATCATTTCTGCGTCCTGATTATTTTATCTAATGAGTTTATCTCTTTTGGCAGCATCTCTCCAGATTTAGTTCTTATGTAGCCTAAAGGGTACCTAGATAGATGAGTTGTCTCTGTATATTCGATTTACCTCTTGTTCCCAGTACAGTTTTCTCGAGAGAAAGCCAACGCCGCAAATGGACATGCCAAACTACGTTGTATTGATAATCCGGGGTTAGATATCTGTCATCTCTGTCGAGATACTCGCTTCAAAGTGTTCAGACCTACCACATCTCTTACATGTTCTATCGCTTTGCGATATTACGCGCCCCGTCCGTTGTCACGGGATTCGTGTTCTCGGACCACTGTGCAGCATATCAGTTTGATGGAAATTGTTTATTTGATTAGAAGACGATTATGGGGTTTCAGAGTGAGCCACATATTGCTGGTTTACCAAATTTACTAGTAATGGGTCACTTATAGTTAGACGCGTTTCTTGTTTCTTACCATTTTTTTATGCATTTTGCGTATAAATGAATAAGTAAGCATGGAACTATCACTAGACCTCACTGGACTACAACGAGCTGTTTGCACTAAACACATGACATTCGAATATACCGAATATACCGATCAGTATTAACAATAGTTAAGTAGAGCAGCCTAATCCACGTGGATTTCACAGCTACCAACTAGAAGTTGTAATTGGATTGATTTGGCCCTCCGAATCTGTATCATGGAGCTGGTGTTTCTCAACTTGGTAATGAGATATTTTGAATGACGGCGTGTAAATTGCTTCTTTTCAGGATTTCTGTGGGTTAAAATAGGGGCTATTTGAAACAAAGCAATTCACGATGAAATAAATTAGCATAATGGGCGATATCAGATTCAGATAAAGGCACCATACAGATCACTTGCTTTATTGCACCGCGTGCAAATATTTTATAAGCTGCAGGAATTGAACTGATTTTTTACTTTCGCTTTGTTTTCTTTGGGTCCATTTAATTCGTTTGTTCACGGGAAATAAATTTGGCACTGGTGCCGGCGGTCTCTCCGCGACATAATGATAGGGTCTTAATGGAACATAATGGGAGTTATCGTCATACTAAGCCAGGAAGATCACAGCTGCATTCTCCCAGTTTCCCTTTTCAGACAACAGTTCCAAGCTAAGGTGAATGCTAATAGGCAGAACAAAATAATGTTTAAGATTTATTTTTCATTTAAAAGGGAAACAAACATTACGGATCAGAATGTTTAACGTGTAAAATCTATAATAACAATGCAATAAAGCTTTCGCTTCCTTTTATTTTAATGAGTATGCAAATGTACGCGAAACTTTCATGAATGGGTTGTGGCCAGTGAAAAGCTGCATGACAAATTTCCGAAATGGGAGAGATTGTCGGAGATGTTCGGATTTGAAGTGAGGACAACCTGGTTGCCGTTTGGATCATCCTAGCCATCTGAACAATGTCGTTCGTTTAGACTTTAATTTCACGCTACGGAAGGCTAACGCTTGTACTTTAAATTAATAAGCATAAGCCCATAGCCTACGTACCACAATAGCCCAACTCGGTCTAACCAAAAGTAAAGTACTAGAGGTAAATCGGGGACTTTTTAGTCGTTGTGCATTTAACGAGATCATTGAGGTACAAATTCATAAGTGAGAAGATTTATTTTTTATCACAAATCGATATGTCTAGATTGAGTTTGGGAACAACAGTGATTGCAGTTGGGCTCCAAAGAAGAGTTGTTTAATGTTTATTACTCTGTTTTCCACTGGGGTGTTTGCAGAAGAATCCAAAAGATGCAGTCAATTGATGTATCATACTCAACAGATTATGCGTACAGTTCCCCTCAGTAGTGTGACGTGGTTGCAATGGTTGAAGTTCGTGTTTGCTATGTGTGTATGCGGAAGTGCACTAATTTTTCATGAGTATTTCATATTCACATCTTTTTTGAAAACCCACAATCATTTGTTATCCTTACTTTTGTTTAAGAAGTCATTCTATTTCTGACATAGCTTTCGCTCAACGCTGATTAACTTGAAGGTCAGAGTCGGATATTTGCCTGGAAGATATGTCCATATCTACAACGATATATGTTCATCTATTAAGTTTTACTGAAGTGCTTCATTTCTAATCTTGCCAACTAAGTATCTTTTTTTGTTCAACACTTCTTGTGCTTGACGAATCGAAATTAAAAGGCGAGAGGCAATTACTGAACCTCAGCTTCTTGCACGTTTCTTCATCTCTCGTCCGCAAATCCTCTTTTGGTCTGCTTGGGATGTAGGCCAATCTGAAGCGGTAACTGCAAACCATGTGTAAAGTCTATTCATCTGAATTTATCGAGGTAATGAATTTTCCATGACAGTATTCTCCAACATAAGACAGTAGCAGTACTAGTAGTAGTCAGGCTACCAAATCGCTTATCTCATTCTACCCGTGTTAATCTCCGCAAACAAAATGACAGTAGACAATGTGTGAACGTGACGTTTGTGAACGGACCGATTTTCTGATGTGTCTCGGAAAATGCATAGACTGTGCGCAATCGGTGCACAGAATAGCGCCATTTAAAAGGATAGGATGTGTAACACCCGCACCGAAATGTGGAAAATATCTTTTGCCTGTGGTCAGGTAAACTCATTGAGTTTAAGTCACTCAAAATTAATGGATTTTATGTTGTCTTACCATGTGGGCGACTCATACAATATATCTAGATGCTAATTCCGTGCGAACTACATTAAGATCAATGCGATATACAGTTCAAATGCACTTGTTTGTTTCACACAACTATGAAAAACAAACACGGACGATCGGTGGTGGGAATTCAACGATACCGATAGGCAGAAGTGGGTTCATCGTTTGGACAGGCTAATACACCAGCAGTATAATTTTTGCGGGTGAAAAATAGATTATTTCAACTCCGGAGCGAATTTTAACATAAAGCATCGTGTTTAATCTGAGTGAGTAGCTGTATATCATATTTGTTTTTACAATCATTTGAGATCATGTTTGTTATTGTTGTCTGCAACTAAAAACAAGTATATTCCCGCTGTCTTCATTGTTTGATGTAATATCACTAACACATTGTTTATTTATCACGAGTGATAGCCGTGAAAACCGTTCAAACATATCTTCGAAATTCAATAGGTTAAGTCAAAAATCCAATTACCGTCATTCTCAGCACATTAAGGGCTTATTCGGTAATAAGAGGAAATTTTCTTATAATATTTGTTCGAGTGTAGGATCAATCAAAATAGTTTTCTGCACACAAAAATACATGATAAATCAAAAGAACTGTTCGCTACAATCCTTTAGACTATTCGATACAATAGGGATTAAATTGAAATATCTTTCACTTCCTATGGCATTGAATTTCCGTGACTGTTTCTGTCTCTCTAAGTCAAAATAATTCTCTAGTTTGACATTTTTGGGATAAAAACCTATCGTTTTCTTTTTTCCTGCTTATTGTCGTCAAGTCTACTACTGGTTCTTTCGGTTTAAGTGACTTACCTCGTTTCCATCAAGAGTTTTAGCGGTTATGGTGATGTGAACAAACAGGGTGGCCAGTGGAATAGGTTCTCCCGTATCGCTTCTTAATCGGACGTGACGATAACCTGAAATCAGAGATATATTGATTAAAATAAATTAAATGACAACACAATAATCATTTGAAGGAGCTTAAAACGGGGATAACACTGCTCATTGGTCGAAGGAAATTAATCGTTTGTATTTACACTGTCGGTTTCTTTCATACTGTCCATCCCACCTGATTAATTAACTTGCAATTCATGTGATACATGAATCGATTTTGTCGTGGGTATCACGTGGACGGCAATCAGCTGTGTTTTGGATGCGGTTACATTTATGTGCGTACAAAAATGATATTCAGATCGCCTCAAGTAATAACCAGGTGGGGAATGAATAGGAGGCACATCGGCGTAAGCCATGCACGCGTACTACAGGTGCAAAATCATGGTACCACAAAAAGTACAGCCTCCACAAATTCAGGAGTTCTCTTAAAAAATGATTTGCATGTTACTGATCGGTTTTATCAGTTTTATGTGTAGTTCACTAAAAGTTCTGTTCCTCTCTGGTGGGTACATAGCGCTGACGCCTTTGGCCTCGCTTTGGTTTTAATCTAGGCTGACACAAGGTGGTTCGCAATATACACTTACGCAGCTCCGATATGTTGGTCACAGATCTATGCTAAACCGCTTGAAACTTGTGAGTGGAATAGTGGAACTGAAACTACCTGCTTCTGGTATATTCATTTACAATTTTCTGAAACAGTAAATTATCACCTCACCCATGGACCGAGGCATAATGCCCGAATCACCATCTGGTACTCTTGGTCTTATTGAGAACCACTGGGATCCCGTGGTATCAATAGATCTCTTCCCATGGTTAGGTTTAACATTACCCCCATAATAGTGAATAATTTTTCACAATCTATTTTTGAACTGCGACATAAGTTTATCGTTAATTAAAGAAAGCCAAATATAATTAAATGCAACACAGGATGCATCGAACAAGGAGATACAACGTAGGTTTTATGGGAAGTAAAAGTAGAGTAACCAATGGCGTAGTCAACTAGTCGGTGGCTAAACAAATCATAGACACTAAATTGTATTGTGAAAACCCTATTTCCTCGAGCGAGAAATATCTGTTCTCCAGATACACTAAACGTAGAAGAGGACTTCCTGAGGAGCAGATTGATGAGCAATGGTCACCCGGAAAAGTTCAAAGTAGAAATTCACAGTAAATCGTTCCCTAAAATGAACCAGCCCGAACACGTTTGCAAAAAAGCACTGTTCATAAAGCATTCGATGAAAGGTGACCGCATTGGGAATGATGTGTGCCAGAAGTTGATGTTAGCTCTAGATCGTACATTTCCACCAGCTCAACTTAGGCTCATTGCCTCTACTCTCAGAATTAATGTGGAGTAACGTAAACATGGCTGGCAAACAGGATCTGTCTCACATCCTGTATAACAGTCCGCTTGCAGTTTCGGTGATGCATACGTAAGACGAACGAACCGTCAGCTCTCAAAACGGATGGTGGTTGGTGAAATATATGACGCAATCAATATATGATGGTCAAGTGATCACAAGAGCTCCAGGCCCATCTATTACAAAAAAACGCACGACCACAAGACACACAGTTGACCCTAGTTTTTCTTTAGAACCAATATTACTTAATCGCCGTGCTAAACGTTAGACAATTAATGAAACGTTCCTCATTCGATTACATCACCGGACCTCATTTGACCACATGGTTTTACTACAAACACACGTACCGCAAAGTTAACCTGCTTCTATATTTGGTAATCTTTGTATGTTTGTACGTATCCATTCACCATAATTATGGAGGCCCATTTGTTATAAAAATGTGCTTGTTTGTCGTAAGTCAGCGATTTAGGAAATTAAACGAAGTGGTAATATATCGGGATATTTTCTTCTTTGTGTATTGATGAAGTAAACTGTATAATGTTTGTAGATTGTATATTTCATTCTTATCTGTTGCACTTTTGGGCCAAAAGGCAACAACAATTTGCAATGTTGGAATTGCAGTGTTCGCTCATCAGTTATCTTTTCTTGCGTTTACCTATTACAATCTACTTGCGGTAGCAAGTACGTCAGAAGACCTGCGAGACGATTGTAGGGACGCAGACAGACCATGCACCGAAGAATATGGCGTCTGGGAAGGGGGGGGGAGGGAGGGGCNNGGGGCAAGCTCCTGCCGCAATCCACAGGGGTTCGGTGAGGCGGTTACCAGTCAAAGTGTCATGCCAGATTTTTGTAAATAGACCAAATTCGAGTTTAGCCTCGCACTATCATGTTCGGTATCATTGTCCTACCCCCACCCTGCAGTGATTAAGCACTGTGCCCCCCAACGGGTTAAATAAGTGACCTTTAGCCTTAGTATTGATTGATTTCTCTTCCCCATGTGTTTGCCTGTCCCAAAACCTGTCACTTTTTAACTCAACGGGATCTGAATGTATCCCACGAACTAGTTGAATTCAACACATTCTGTGATCATGATGCTTTTTCTTGCTCTCATGAAAGTGTTAAAGGGAACAGATTGCATGAAGATTCACCGAATTCGTCAAAAGCTCCCATGTGAAACGCGTGGAAATCCGCATTGTCATTTTTCAGATCAGCTTGTATTTCTCAGTACTCAGCTGTGATTGATTTGGTTAAAAAAGACAAATTTGTAACAGCTCAAAGAACAGTATTGAGATAATGTGCTGGTTCCTATTATTCTAAATGTGTACTTATTCAATGATAGTGGTTTTCATGTGATTAAGTACATATAATGGGTCGAATATAACCTAATGGCCTTTCCGTTACCAACTCTCTATTCTGCGTGGTTTTTCAGTTGTGGAAGGATTTATCGGAAAATCTATGATCTTTGCAATAGTTAATGCGTGTCAGGTTTATTTCCTTGCATTTGGTGATCTTGCCCAGTACTCACTCACATTTCCCCGTTATGTTACTTCCAATGTTGTGTGCCTGCATCATCGAAATCAACTAGCTTCATAATTAGTGACACACTACAAATGCTTCGACGCTATCCGAAATGTTCCCACCACCAACTGGAAATTTCAAAAAATAATAATGATGAACGAAATATGCCTTGTGTCACTCACATCCCGTAATGAGGTGTTTAAATTACACTGGGCTTTTGATGTTACAAGAGATGTTCCTATTTGTCCGATTCATGTTACGAGTACGGTCGTGGATCGGAGAAAATTCGGCTGAATTCATGGTTTACCGCGGCAAGAAACTGGCGAACACCATTCCGAATTTTAGTCACTGAAGCGACTTCCAAGGTGAGAGGGAGGTCCTCGTGTAATCAAGCAAATACATCAAAATGTCTACAGGGCATACTATTCAGACAAGAATAAATGCGATCTGTTTGTGTGTGCGTGTGTGTGTGCAGTATGTGTGAACGTCATCAGCCAGCAAGAGGGCAAAAGAACCAACCCATCAATGAATCACGATATTCGTCGATTAGGTAGTAGCGAGTGTATATTATGCTGTAGCGGCACCACAGGTACGCCATACTTCACAGACTTATTGCGCATTAGCCACGTAATTCAAGTGATAAGAATTTCAGAAAACAGTTCAAATTTATACCATCACTAATCTCAGTGAAACGAATAAGATTGAGTTCCATCAGACATCAGAGCGTCAGCATTATTTAAATGAACTTCCCGTTCCTAATGTTTGCATCCTTGCTTTTGTTATTCTGTATATTTTACATTAATGATAACACCACTCCAAATGACAGAAGATCCATGGATGGAACGGATCTCACTGAAAAACTTTGGCGTCGTGCTCATGATTATTGAGGAAATTAGCTTGTTTCAGCCACGACGAAAGAAAGACCCAAAACACAAGGCGTTGGAAGGCCTTTCTCAAGTCGTACAATCGATTAATCTCACGTTGCAAGCGATGGGATAACGACATCGTATAGAACTCCGACGTGATTCGAGCATGCCTGTGTGTAGGTGTGTTGGCGATCGTTCGACGGGTGGTTTGGACGAGTGATATTGGCTTGACCTTTAGGTCAAAACGCGTGAATTGGTCATTTGTCATTGGGGGTGAAGACGAGACTATTTTGTATGTACAGATGTCAATTGTTGCCATAACTGTGGAATGACTGTTCCATCGGGTCAATTGATCAGGAGAGCTTCGGTTACCAAGTGTTCTTATTGACTTCTGAACCCACGCTTTAGAATGCGCGAGTTTTTGAAAAAAACTCTCAAAATCATTTTTAATTCCGTTCAGATGCTACTTTAAACAAATAATAGTTGGTTATGGCCATTTTGTAAGAAATAAAAAGGAAACTGGATAGGTGTGTGAAACTGCTTACCCGGGAGTAAACAGTCGAAAGGGATCGTGTTTTGTCCAATAAAATCGTCACCAATCGCGTGATCGTCGAGAACGACAAAGCGAACCAAAGCCAGACTTCCCAAATGCACACAAAATTCAAATGTGTCATCAAATGTGGCATTGTAACCGGAAGCGCTACCGGCCGCGGCTGTGCTGGTTCGTTGTTCCGCACAATCAACCGGAATTCCGTGGATTTCAATCACCACATACGGTTCGATTGTGTCTCCCTTGGAAACTGAACCACGGGGTTTGGGTAACTGTTGGGCGCTCAGGATTCGAAGCCGAAAGATCTAGAAGTCGCATTGGTAAATCAATACATGTCAACCCAAAAGTTTATGTTAAGTGCTACATAATTGAAATTTATAGCGTGGTACACCCAAAACTGCGTCCTCAGTATGTTTACGCCTAATTTAATGTGCTGGAATGACCACTGGAAAAGCATCTACACTTACCAATGGGACAGCTTCAGAACCTCTAGTGTTTATGTTGTTTTTGTTGAAAATCTCTTGTCATATATCAAATGGAACTTCTTAAGTTGCGGGAAACAAGTTGAGTTATTAAGTCTCTAGAAGAAGAAGCTGAAAATATTTCTGACTCTTGTTCCATTTTAATAATTTGACTAGTTTTGCACACTACAATATTCCGTTCGCCATAAATCCAATGTATTGTTTTGTTGCACAATCAGGCGAACTCTATTGAAACTATCCCACCTAGAAACACGAGGTTTCCCTGGAGGAAGCAAAACCGGGACACCATGGTTACCGCCAATCAGGAAACAATGACTTCTAATCCCAAGGCTTTTGTTCAATCTCATTTTGTTTTGACAATAATTTGTCCCTACCCCACAAAAAGAAAGGATTTTCAGCATTTTGTAAGTGCAACCCACGACTGCACACGGTCAGCTCATGATTGCGAAACATATCTGACTAACCTGTAATACTCAGGCCTGGCTTCATCCAACACATATACTTTTTTCAGATGTATTGAAAAGAATCGCGTTGCAACCCGAAATGGTTGTCGATTCAATAACACAGGCGCATTGACCTCCGTGGTGTAGACCAGCTCACTAGTGTTTTTTGCCCCATACGCATGGTGACACATTTTAAAATCCTTCTCAGGTGTTTACATATTTTGTAATACTTTGAGGAAAATATGGAAGAAACATGCGCGGTAAGGCGTTGGCAACAAAAAATAACCAAGCATTATTTGGCTGTTTCACGCGGTTTCACGCGGCAATGTGAGGACAAAACAAACAAGCCACGTTTCTGTAAAAACGTGATTTACACATTCGTTTCGAACCGGTATTTTTTTCAGTGCAAAAACGAGTGATAATCCTATTCATTGAATTAGCTGTATTCCTTTATTCTGTTCTAAAGAACTAAGTTATGAACAAAAAATACTGGATAAACAATTGTTGTCTGATCGGTTCCCGTCACCCGTGGAAACTCCTTCTGCGCCTCGTATCGCCATACACTTTGCACAAGTCTGCTGGCATATATTTTGATCGCAAAAGGTCTTAATTTTACCCGACTACTTATTTGCAAATTCAGATCGGAGCCCAATTAGTGACAATAACCAATTGGAATGCATAAAGATCACAAGGAATTTGGTAATAATAATAATGAAGCTCACTTTTGAATGATTTAGTTCTGTTCATTTGGCGAATCTGGTACATAACAGTAGCAGTTCATGAGTAGCCCTTCGGTTCAAATGCACCATAGCATTATCTTTTATTCTACTTCCTTTTATCACACATATGAGGGTGTCATGTTTAAAGACAGGGAATCGAGCAATGTACAGGCTGCCAAACAGCAGAGAGAGAAGTGTTAAAGTTTGCTGGTGGTGGTGATAGGATTCCAACACGCACGTCCTCCGAGGCGATAATTTGAAGACTATCACCCTTTGTGGAAACACGATTGGACACTTCGATGTTTTTCGTCGGGGCAGAAACCATGCATGAGTAGATCTGCATTCACCAGCAGTTCGTGATCGTTCAAGGCAGTTGTCCGTCATTCGTTTCTCATTGGAAGTGAAAACTTAATTCTTGTTAGCATACTTGGTGCATTAAATTAGCACTTAGGTAAACTTTAATTGGGAATTGATTAAGTCCAGAGTAAAAGAATCATCCCTTTCAATGAATAGGGCAAACTAACAAATCATTTCACATGGAAATTATTTCCGTGATATTTATCAGATGCAAGCTATCTTCTCTTGCACAGTTGAGGTATAGTTATATACGTAGAGAAGGCTTTCTTCATGCTTACATCAGTTTTATCTTCATTTGCAGTGTTTTTAAAAATTTCATTACTTGTTAAAGTACATTATTGATCAAAAATTATTTCCTCTAAGAACCTTACACATGATCTCGAGGTTAGCACAAATTGACTTCGGGATTTTGCAAAATGTAAGACATCAGTCAGGTTATCACCAGAGTACTTTGAGAATCCCTGTCAAGTGATTTTGGCTTCAGAGAACCGACCATCAAAAAGCTGGTTCTTTATTTAAAATACCAAATTTTTATTGATCCGTTACAAGTCATGTGTTTCTGTGTACTTTTGGCTCGCATTTTCACCTTTGTTCAAATGGAAACTCAGCAGTGACAGTTTTCATGAGTAATCCCAGTACATCTTGTTGTCATAGCAATATTTGCAAAAATGAGATTTAGTACAAATTTTACAAAAAATGACCATAATTGTTTAAATAGCTCAGGATGAATGAAACAATTTACATTCACACTTAGATCTAACCTGTGGTGTTGTATCCGGAGGTTTGTCGAATTCTGCCAGCGAGGTATTTGAGGCCGGGGTGAAAAACGAAGAGGTTTGACGATAGAGCTGTGGTTTGAGCACATAACCGCATGCTCCGTTGCGAGCAAAGAACCCTGTAGCCAAATCCATGATCAGACCTGCTGTTTGGTAGTTCAAAGGAACACATTGCCCACCCCAGGCCCAAATATCAAGTGGATTTAGATTGCTACTATCCGCTCGTGACGGACTTGGCAAAACCTTGAGCATTGCGTTTCGAGTAAATTGTACTAATGCACCAGCCTCGCATCCCAATGCTCGAGATGCTTCCATTTCACTCATCAAAACAAAATGATAGGGATGTACTCGAGCCGATTGTGATCCTGATCCAGGTGGGCCTGGCTTAGGCGATCCACTAGGGTCCACAGAGACCCCGACAGACGACAGGATTTTATTTGTTGGAAATCGTCCCTCCGAATGAGTTCCAATCACGACCAGAGAAGACCCAACTTTGACCGAACCGGATTTTGTTGAAGATTTTGAGGAATATGCAGATATCGATCTAATAGTTGGCAGGGAACCTGAAAAATGAAGTGATGGGTATGTATTTCACTTGAAGAAATTATATACCTTGTCTTCTTCAACCCCAACCACTGAGTGCTAATTATTTTCATAAGAATTGGTCTGAAAAAGTGAACAAACGGTTCATAAAGTCGCTATCAAACTTATTCATTTTCAGTGTTCGTTCCGCGATTGATGCCTCGTTATTCAATAGATTACTAAAAGAAAAGATCATAGTATAATACAGCATGGTTTCTTTCCAGGGCGATTTCGTTGCATCTAAACATTCTGTGTTATTTTCGTTCACATTTTTACTTCCTTTGATTGAATTTACACATATACAGTTTTCAAGAAGGGGGAAGCGGCCAATCAAAGGAATGCCATACAACTAACAATATGGAAAGTTAAATGGTAGTGCTAGGATTCGAATACATATCCACCGGGGGATAATTTGATGACATTACTACCAGGACACCAACATAGCGCAGAAAATGTAATGTGAAAATAGAGCTTCAGAACGACAAAAAATAAGCTGCAATGCAATAAATCAGAAGGGGAAGGGAGTGAGATGTCAGAGTAAGGATAAGAAAACATGGCGCTCTTTTGTTGGCACACAGATGTTTTCATCGTTCAATAGCTATCACTTCGTCAAACCTAGGAAACATTGCAATCCTTACCTTGTAGATAATTCAAAACGCGTTCTACCCGGTGTTACGTCTTCAGAAACGGTTGAGTCATCGCTGATGACGACATCTTATAATTTCGAACACGTTTTCCATGCAGTAAACGTGACCTCGACCGAATCATTTGAATTTACGTAAACGTTTCCTTCACATGGTGACATATTTTCACACACATCTGATTTATTGTATTTTAGTTTTACCTCATAGCCATGTCAAGGCCCTATAAACATTGTGGTTTCTGCAGGATGCACCATGTTAAGATACAACGAAAGCATCCTGAAATTAACTTGTACAGTATTTCGATATGGTCTCCACTTTCAAACACATTAGTTCAAATGTGCCCTTGAATCGCAAAACCTTTGTTAGAAATGCTAGCAGAGCAGAAATGAAGCTATCATCAATATGAGTGATGACCCAATTGAACTGCACTTGGATGTTTGGAAGGCACATGTATTTCCTTCAGTTTTTTGGCTGCTTTGTGCTATCGAACCCGAAAAAATAAAACTGCAAACAGCATAAAGAAACATAGATATGATCCTAAGGCCATTGTAGACGGAAATAGATACATGCCATTGCCCATTCTTGAGCGGTTCAATACATCCTATCAAACAAATACGGATATTGATGGCTGTGAAAGTTTGTGCTGATTTTGGTTGATAGTTTTTCATTTGATTGAAGTCAAAACTGCCTGAAGCAATTCATAGTTTTCTTGCCCAAATCTTATGGATGCCAATGTCTCGTCATCAGTGAAGTTTAATGAATATGACAATGCGATAGTAGCTCAGCGCCAACAATTCAGGACTTATCTACGGCATAGTAAAGGTGGCTCACAAAACAAGACTTTGCCACTAACGATAACAAGTGTGACTTACCAACGGCATCCTCTAGTGGATTGCTCGTTCCGTAATTGGATGAGTCGAAAAAGTACAAATCAGAAAGCTCCCGTGTAATGACACACGTTTGACTTGGATTGTTCTGTCAATTCAAATTCAGTGTTCAAAAAGGAGAGGAAACGTGAAAGTTCAGAGTGAAAATTATGCATTTACATATGGGAAAATAACGATTGAAAATGACTTGACAACCAAATAAATAGTTGCGTAGTGATAACATTATTGTTCTCCGAAAACCCTTCTCTGCAAAATAAATATGCACATAGAATTATAGTTAACAAAGTCTGCCTTCTGATGATGTATATGCAATGCGTCATGTTTTGTAATCATTCCAGCAGTGTCACTTAGACAGAACTTTAATTTACCCTGTGCCACTTCATCAACAAATGCATCAAAACTATTTCTAAAGGAGTCTTGTTTGAGAAACATTATCGCCTCGCATGTGTCCAGGCGTGTGTTTCGTCAATTACTTAGATAACAATTCATAAAAGCAAGTCGTGACCTGAAATTCAGCGTACGGACATTTCAAATTGAGAGTGAAGTTATTCAATGAAAATATTAGTTCCATAAACCAAATTATTTGGACGAAAATATATTGGTTTTAGAAGTTTACAGTATTCCGCAGCAAACAGGAAAGAAACCGGAAACAAAGGTATCGATCAGTTCCACCTGGGTCTGGTTCATAGGCGCTGAGAAGTGGCAAACATCCGGTCCGAAGTAGAAGCAGTTTTGCAAAGCAGACAAGCATCATACCATTTTCGATTGAAAGAAATAGATTAGATAGTTGCGCTTCCGGATTCCCGCGGACTTTCCGGATGATTACAAGCTCTTGCTTGGATCGGATACGATTACGACGAGCGATTAGCTCAGGTCACCTTGATGACCTCAAAGTACAACAAGTCTTGAAAATTCTGAATCGCCTAAGGAGACGATAGTATTACACAATCATTTAGGCGATCGAATGAAACCACTTACTTTGCTTACGTCGATAAAGCATCAGGTGTCTACAAGGCGCGTGAACACCGATCAAGCGAAAACTCTGTTTTTTTCTAGTAAACTAAATAGTTAAAGCGAGTGACCAGCAAGTTTAGTTCATTGGGTATATAAAAAATGGTCTCTTGTGAAAAGATTTTGTGTGATTTTTCAATGCCTGCTTCTGCACAAGGATTATAATAATAAATCAATTCTTCACCCCCCAAAAATGGTACGTTCACTAAATATTGAGTTGATTTACAAGCAAAAGATACTTTTGGCTTTGTTTTTGTAGAAAAAAACACTTACCCATCATTAACGTCTGCGAATAGCACTTTATTTCCACCAACTTTCTGGCTAATGGATGCGACTGCTACAATGCTATCATGGGTTCACTACTATCTGCACTAATGGCGTGCCAATGTACGTGGATCACATTCATGAGCCCTTGGGGATAGAAACACTGAGGCTAATAAATAACGTTGATTAAAGGACTGATAGGTACAATAATGGGTAAAGCATGGCAAAATGGAATGTATAGTTTACAAACATTTTTTGTATGAAATACAGCGTCGGCAGGTATACAGTGATATTAAAACTTCTATACTGCAGTGTATAAACTGAATAGAGGCAGGATTAGGTGCAATTCATATTCTCTATACATTCACTGAGAATCTTTGTTAATAAAACATCAAGGCTATTTCCCGTCAGTCTGATATACTTTTAAGGACGCATTAGTTTATATGTAATCGCGAAGTCATTTACACGTTTCCTTATCATTGACAGCATCACATCTTAAAGTTACATTTTCAAGAGATCGGTAGAGTTTTTGGCAGTCGTATTCCACTCAAAATGATGAATACACTACAAACAAAATAAATCCTAATATGATTTAGGGTAGTCAGTAGCGGTGAATATGTTTGTTCATACCATTATGACAAATAAGAATGTTTTTGGTATCATAGAGCAAGCTCATGCCTCGAGATTAATGCTGTTACAAACACAAGTATATTTTATTACTCGGTATCAAATCGCAAGTGCCTACCAGATGTGAGTACCGTCTACCGACTGCAGCGCGGCCGTTCATCAGTTCCACTGCACCGTTGCCAGTGGTTCCTTTGGGCAGTCGTTTGCCTTGGAGCAAAATTCGGCCAATCAAATCCCGAGGGGAGGGCCATCTGACATGCAGTCCGTTTGTGGTGTACAAACTTGCCTCATTACGCAAGTCTACTGTAGTCAGACTATTTTTGCGTCCCGAATCAAATTGATGCCGTTCCACTCGTTCTTCAACTTCCAGCTGGGCTTCGCCCAATGTGAACAAAAATTCAGCTGTTGGCAGTAGCAGCCGGGAACCAAAACAGCAACGAACGAGGGAGGCCAGAACAAGTTGTTGCGAGGGTGAAGCATAGCACTCGATCGAAACTACAAGGGGATATCTGTTCCATAACCGGTAATGGTGAGGAATGAGGGGAGATTGTGCAACGCCTCGAGTTATTGATTATTTTTATTGTATTTATAGAAATTGATAGTGCTGCTGAGGTTAACTATTTTCTGAATGAAATAGGTTGTGTGAACGCAATGTGCCGATGCAAAACTTTGACTCGATTGTAACGGACGATAAAAATTGATGACAGTATGAATTGATGTTCAGTGCAAAAGTTGACAACTTTATTAGAATGATAATGTTAGCTGCCTTTTTTGACATTGACATCTTTTTGGAACATGAGGTTATGGTGATGCACAATTTATTTTTTGCAATCTCTCTATATATAATCAGAAGCAAAGCACAGGTGACAAATTGGAAAAAAGATGTAAAGTTACACTCATCACTGGTAAGCTAGTTCTGCTGTTGTTGTCCACATGTATATTAAAACATGATGTGGTTTGCAAATATATACTTTTAGTTTCAAAGCAATTTAGAGTTAAGGAGTGGGGAAGAACGTTTGAACGCCTTGGTCACAGTCATTTCACTATTCTCAGGTGTTTAAAAATACTTTGTAACAAATGAGTCAGGATAGTAGTCTATACTGAAAGTTTGGTGCACTCTTGAAATGTCGTGCACAAGATGGTCAATGTGTATATCGCCCTCTCAGGATAACTGTAGCCTATTTATTTCTCGTCCTTGAAAAGGAAAATTTCAGTCGNCAACTGCATTTTTTACAAATCGATTACGTAATAAATATTTAAATGACTCACAGAACTTAGAATATCACATTCGGATATAGTATCATTTCACCATCTCAACTGCCCGTAAAGTATGCAATACCGGTAATGGAATAATAAATCGTTAAGACTTTCTCCAAAAATAATGACACAATTCGTGAATACATATGCATATACTCCACTGTGAACTTCGTTTAAAAAATATAAGCAGGGATGCATAGTTCGTGACGTAAATCATTTTGCTGTTTTTTCATGTAATCACACTGCTTGTGTGCGCGTGTGTTATCCTTTCCTAACAATCAGCATAAACCAAAAAAGGGAAACGAGATCATCAATATCAACTCAGATCAAGCTGCTCAAACAAGAATTTCACCGTGCTCATTCGAGTTTGTGATTCCAAATATTCCGTGAATGGTGATACGCTTGATGGTTACCAAGATAAGAGGTGCGTTTTTCCGACGACGAAATAACGTCGCATTTCATACTAGTTTGTTACGTGACGCTTAATGGAACTGGCTGGCATTCAGTCGACAATGTCATCGTTAGTCTTTTTACAGGCGGTCGATTCACCTGAGGGTGGAAGAGAATAGATTCACTTTTTCGTCAGCCTTTCATCAATGTTCATTGGATTTGACGTAGCCAGATATTCCATGATACATTGATTCTCGTTTACGAATCTACGATTACGAATGCAAAACAAATGTTCTTCATAACGATTTCACGTTTTATGGTTGGTTTTTTTTGAATCAGCAACAAAAATGCCCATCATTATTATTTCTTATAGATTTTCATATGCTTGACTGAAGAATATTTCAAACTGCAATACAATCCTCCGAACAGGTAAACAAGAAGACTGATTGCCTTGAGAGAAAAGTAAGCACAAGTAAACACGCGCATCACACTCACTCCGACCGAATGAATCCGAAATCATTGATTGTTTCCAATACCGATTGTACGGGAAGACCGGGTCGTGAATTAGTGCGACGTACTACCGGATGTCCATCGTGACCGTCGTACACTTCGACTGATTTGAGTGTATTTTTACCGTGAAGAAATGCACAAAGAAATATGGGAATGTTTTCATAGATCAATATTCATTTTAGCTGATGTTTTCGTTCAGTGTGAACCTTAAAATGATGAACATAGGCACATGGTTTATTCAGCTATATGAGGTATGCGTTGTTGCATATGAATAACAAGTCATACCTCACTAAGAGGCCAGTGTTGAGTGCAATCACTCATCATCTGTGTGTGGCTGACGGTTCTTTTCACACACAGAGACCACGTTTCCCTCTTCAAATTGCAACCAACTCCACGAAAATCAGTAGCGGGAAACGGCGTTAGGATGTATGACCTTAATTTGGTTTGTTTGGTTCGGACCATAGTTCGTCACAAATAGTTCTTGAGCAAAACACGACGCAGGTTTTTTGTGTGGTCGGCGTTCTTGGTTTAGGGTAGTGTTTCATTTGTGGTTGTGTGCTAGATTTAGTTGGGGATGAAGCTTGTCTTGTAACTATATTGGCTATTTAGACCATAGCATGATCATCGCTCTTACACTCTTGTATATATAATTCTCAGCAAACCGGTTGACCTCGATGCACTTCACACCCATCAATTGTTCCGTTGAAATCTGTTCACCCACACAACTGTTAGTTTTAAATGGGAATGCGTCGTGTATATACCAAATTAAGCGTGAACTGAAAAGCTAGGAAGCACCCGACAGCTGTTTTGACCTGGTTGGGTCTCATCAGCAGTGCGAACCCATCGACCCAACTGGGGATCGAACCCGAGACTTCGTGGCCAGAAAGCAAGCATGCCACCCACTACGCCACCGAGTAGCTGATCAGACCATTTTTCATTTTCCATTTACACGATGTAGCACAACCCATCTTTGCGAGCTTGTTGCTCTGTTAGTATTTGTGCCTCACCCTCGCCGTATTCAACATCTTGAGGACAACATTGATCTTCACAGTATGATGCATTTGGGCGATATATTGATACAACCAAATCTGTTTCATGTCGGCACTTGTGACCTTGGTTCCCCACCCTGTCTCAATATAACTAAACTTGACTGATTTCTCATCGAGCTTATGTCACATTGTGCCGTACTGATATCTCCCTTTTTTGTGAACTCCCGTTTNCGACATCCGTTAGCTCTGTTCGTTCTTGTTTATCTCCTATCCATTGACGAGTTCCTAACCATATTTCCAAAACACAACACCCTCCGGGACTGAGTACCTGAGATTGGTCGGTTCACCTCCATTAAATAGTCGGTTTCCTTTGGTGTTGCATGTAATTGCATAACGCGGTATCTCGTTCCGTTTTGTCTTACACAACATGGTTTCTGTACCGGATAGCTCACAACTTGAAGTATGTTGTACATATTGCCTGTTTGTGCGAATCTTGGTACACATAAATTACTGAACTTGTGTTCTATTTTTCTGGACTTGGGGGTTCATTTTATGCGCGTCATTTTATCTTTGAACGTCAATCAGATACACAGGGATAAAACTGGAGAATGATCATTTGATACTACATAAAATGATCATTCAACTTAATCAACCAGCCTCAAACCCAAAATGGGGATGTCATTTGATCAGTGGGATCAGATACATGTCCAATATACCAAAGTTAAACGATCCTCCAACATATTCGAATCGGTATATCACTTGAGATCTGGTGGACAGTGGGCCAGGGGTTCCTTTGTTGGTGGCGTGAAAATGTGTATTGTTGTTTACAGTACGATCGGATTTGCAGCATCTTAAGCGGCTCATCACTGTCTCTAATCGGTCTTGAAATACCAGTAGGATATAAAGGCTTCTTAGTGAATAACAAAACAATAGCCTCACATTCTAAGACGACCTAACGACACAGATCTTAGGGATGCGCAGTGCAAGAGAACACTGAAGTGGAAAATTTCTACATTCTGGAGACAACTAAAAGCAAGTCGCATCTGAGCCAATGATAGCTCATAAGAGTAGTTAGATGAATTCATATGAGATTCTCTTGAGAAAGTTTACCCGGACATTAACAGTACGATTTACAGCCGGACACCACATTAGAATCTAGTATTAAATGAGTTGTTAATATAGAAAAGAACGTGGAAAATCTGAACATTTCTACGAGGTTTGTGGCAGTGGCTTTCAAACATTCTACGTCCACCACATCCACTCAAGGTAGTGGATACCTAATGATTGGGTCTAAATATGGTGTTTTCCTGGACGGTTTCGTTAGTGAAATAAAAATGGCTGCCTAGAAGCGATTTAACTCCTTGGTCGATTTTGAATGATAGACTGTTTAATGAATGTTTAAAGTTGGCAGTGCGCGGATGTATCTGGAGATAAACATCAACTGACCACTCGTTAAACAATGCGGTCGGCCTTTTTTATTACACACATTTGTGTGGGGAACAGCAGACGGAGCGAAACCCATAGTCACGAAGACCTGCTTCTCATTCACGGAAACCGGTAACCTAAGTCTCGAGGCTTGGAGTGGCGAAACACATAAGGCCCTGCTAGGCAAAGCCACATTTTTTTATCCTATTTTCTCAAAATGGAATTGAAAAACTTATTTACATATTTTTACTAGAAATGCGAAATACAAAATGGTGTCAACAAATTAGGCATGGCATTTCACAATACCAGTTTAACTCACTTTCGACGTAGCGACACCCGGATAAAAGTGCTCGTTGATAACCCTCCACACTACACGGGCCAGTAAGTTGATCTTCTAAGAGGAACCTAAAAACAGATCAGGAAACATACCGGCTTTATTTGCGTGTGTCGGTTAAACATCTCATAACGAGAACTTACATTAACGTCAAAAGCGTGTGATGAAATAGGTTAACTAAAGTGAAGTTGGATTGTGGAAAAACGTTTTATTTAATTTAACATATAAATATATGCATAGTATGATAATATATTTATTGAAAATAAAAATCCAAGAACACCGAGGAGAGTTGAGCCTGCGAAAGATTATCATTCGGTTAAACTCGTATTTCATTTCCTTAGTAGTGTGAATTGAATCTTAGTAAAAACGTTGATTCTCAATAGAAATTCCTTTTAATTTTTGAAAAGATTGAGTTGCACTGTTTTGCTTTTTTTCCAAAATTTACTTCCGTTCATTGATTTCACTATTGCCTTTGAAGTACTCTAAAAAATTGAAGCGATCATTAAATGCAGAGAAATGGATGCAATGGAGAGGGTCCAATCAACAGACTCCAAATATCCCAATTCCTGAAATTCATATAACGCAGGTGTTCTAAATCACTTTCAAACATCAAAGACGTGAAATACAACAGGTTTTCAAATATAAATTTGATGAACACAAATTGCTTTTTCCGAATACTGTCCTATGAATTCCAGTGTTTTACTATATCAGTGGAAGATTGCACGGGACGGATACAACCGAATTGAGCATTGGAAACGGTTAGTCGTGAGAAGCGCACTGGATAAATGCTGAATTTATCCCCATATGTAACACTTAAATTCATCAGGAACTGACAGATGAAAAATTATCGGAAATTCGGCAAAGATAGCCCACGCGAAAACAGTATTGTCATTGAATCCGTTAAGTGAAACTTGTCACATCATCGTGCCTAATGTTGGAACCGATTTAGGGACAATGAAGGAATATTGTTATGCAAAGCAGAACTCCATGCTAACCTACTTTGTTCTATAACATTCAATAAGCTGCGATTGGTCGATCGGCAGAAACCAATAGTCAGCATTATATTGTTCTGCATCCGAAGTCAGACTGCATTATGTACTTCAAATGTGGAGCGGGCACGAACAGTACGGGAATTGTACCTCAGGGTTTTCATGACATAGGGCTTATTGTGATCAGTGGCCGTTTCATTGGTGAAATTAGGCTCTGGTTCGACGTAATTACTCTCCCTCAAAATTTTCCCTCAAATGCCATGAAAAATTAAACAACCGAACCTGGTACTGATAGCACTTTATAAGACAATCAGGATGAGTGAGCGCGTTGCGGTAAAATTTGGAAATAAATCAAAAAAACGTTTTATGTAAAATCGAATTGATTCACTGAATTGTTGGTTTCAAAAAGAATAATTGAAGTTGTATTTTGTTCAAATTGGAACAAGAATTGTTGTTGCTTAGAACGAAACTTGGGGAAAAAACAAACATAAGAAGTTGTCATGCAGAAATTAAAAGAAGTTTGAGATTCACTGATGCGAAATAACAATCAATTTCATCTGTATTTCTTGCTAACGAACTGCTGGTGATGAAAAATATTTCCTCTGAAAATTGTCACATGCGTTGTATGTTCTGCAGAGTTAAACATATGCCTTGAGTAGAATAACAATTATCAGTAGAGTGGTTTTCGTACCACATTATAAATCTACATCAACAAATCGATATGTTTCACTTCATTTATTTCATCTCAATACGTGATTATCTATCAGCATCAGATTTCGCTGTAAATGAGAAAATGTCACGTTTGAATGTTTACTTTGCAGCTTCTAATGATAAACAACAACACAACAAATAAAGACTAATTCCTGGAAAAAGGTTTTAGGCGATCGGCGTGAGGAAAAACGAGTTTTCTTGAGAAAAAAAGCCACAAAGGTTAGTTCTCCGCTGACCGCATCACCCGGTAGCGGAGGTTTCTTTTTCGTTAATGGCTTTGCATTTAATTCGTTATAAATTGCACCGATGGGATTAACGTTCTGTTTTTCGTTTTCAGGCCTCTGAAACTCTTATATTAGGCGGTTCTAACATGATCGCCAATTATCTGCTGTACTTAAACCTGTAAAAGTGGTTTTATTCAGATTGATGTGGCAAATGTCACCAACTGTTAAACAGCAATAGTGCTCAACAGAACTTGATATGGTTCTTCAGAATCATGGATACACGTGATTAACGTCACAAGTAAACACGAAGAATATGTGTCACGCGGCATTTTATGATTGATATGTGACATGGATAACATGTTCAGTCACAAATGCACATACTGCGCTGTAATTCACCAGGACGCAGCATGGGTAATGACAACCACAACGAAATGAATGAATAAATTATAAATTTCGCTCTCAACAACAGTCTTTTTTGACCATAATGTGTTTTGCAATTCGTTCTTAGTGTGTGTTCAAACCATTCTCTAACCAGTAACCAGGTTTGAATGCATAAACCTAGTTATACTAATCAAGAGGCTTTTAATTCTCTTCGGCTATGCTTTTAGCAGAAGGAAGTTATACAATGTTCGTCACTCTCCAATATATGAGTTGGAAGGACCGCTTTTTGGAATTGGTCGTTGTATATATATATATATATATATATATTAACCGCGATATCCTTTTTGTCACATACGGCTAATTTTGCTACATAACAATATTATTTCATGGTGAAGTTTTCTGTTTCCTTCTGTAGAAACTTTGATTTTGGTTGTTGGGGTAACTAGCATATGAATCCTGATGCTTGTCATCAAGGTGACCTTATCACTCACGATCGTCAACGAAGTTTACAAATAAGAAAATGCTATCTGCTTTGATATAATAATGAGGCATGAAGCTAAGGAAAAATCATGGACTATTTTGCAATTCGATAAAACATCAAGCGTACTAGAAAGTTGCTCTTTGAAAACGAAGCATTTCCTTTATGTTTTCGGCATTAGTGATAATAACATTCTGTCTTTATTGTTACAATTACTGTAAAACGTTTGGATGATTTTATGGATATCGATACCAGTTTCCAAACCACCTTGGGTTATACCACCATAATCAATTTTTCATTCGATTCACTGCGCACCTTGACAATGCATACCTGATTAAATGTACATTTCCTTGTTGGGGAAATGCTATCATGCCGCTTCTTTAGGTTTTCCTACACGAGAATAATTAAAACAAATGTGGTCTCTTGACTAGAAGTTATGATCACCATTTCCTCGTGCAATGTTCAGACCCGAAGAGCACAGGGCTGAAAATCACAAGCTTCCGTGCGATATGAGAACTATTCAGGGGAGTTTCGGGCTGTAGATTGTCCTACCTCTACAAGCGCTGTAGATGCAGAGATAGAATCGATGCTGTATTAACTCCGGGCCTCAATTGTAAGTCATTTCCGTTGAACGCAATCTGAGTCTGATCAATCAACTTGCTCCTTACATTAGTTTTCACACAAAGGAGTTGAAAAGGTCCAACAGTGTTTCTCCTAATAACCTTTGGTCATGTATCACCCCGTCGTCTGTAACCTATGAAAATTGTTCAATGAATTTTTTCACAGCAACCTTTTCAAAACCGCTGGAATTTAGCCTGTACAATTGTTGCTTCGGAAAATGTTTACCCAGTTTCCTGTTTTTTCAGGTGTGCAAAAAGCTCCTGCCTAAGGTTCTACCCATGAAATCCAGTGTTATCAAACTGTGTCAGTTTACTTTCATCCATTTTCTAAGTGTCTGAAATGTATGGGGTACCATCTTCAGTTTATCGGATAGTATCTTGATAAGTAAAGCTGTTCGCTTATGATTGTTGGAATACGACATGTTCCTCAAAAGTACAGACAATGAAATATTAAATGAAACCCTTTATTTGTCAAGGATGAACCTCCTACAATAAAATTTCTGCCGAAGTATCATCCCTGTCTATGAAAGTTGACACTTTGCAACACAGCTTATCTGCACCATGGCCCAGCATAAGAGCGTGTATACAGGCCTCATATTGGATGTAAGTATACTGTACGTTGACATTTGTCTCAACTATGTTTATTACTCCTAGAAGTCATTTGTATCAGTAAATGATGTTATTCTCGGCTTAGGGTGTTCCAAATAATCATTTCGGGTTTTTACATGCCATCTTGCTACGGTAATATCAAACGTGTTTTCATATCGGTATTCAACAACAAATATAAAAAGGTTTTCTGGAATAAATTTTGATGTAATCATTCTTTATGACTTTAAGTATGGTCCGATCATATCGAAAACATGTTCTGAAGCATACGTGAGCTTTTTGATTTACGCGGTGAATCACCTTTTTAAATCGGAAAGTCACCTAACGTTGTTTTGTGCTATCACGCAGTTTTGTCTACTGACTTCCGCGGTTTCGTATTATGCCTTTGCTGTGAAGAACCTATGCTGATCGCTGGGTCGCTTCAACTTTATTTAATATACAGTTTAGTGCTTCGTAGGATATTTCTAGATCTCCACTTAACCCATCATCGCTTAGATTTTAAAAACGTCGTCTATTACAATTTGAAGTGACTGTTCTCACGGTTTACGTAGTGACCGTGGGAAGTCTCATTCCAACTCATGCCTTCCTCCTTCACTTTCTTTTTTGAAACATTTACGCACGCATAGAGGATTAACAGCTTATCGGTGTTTCTTATTCAACCTGACATTTTTGAATTCACTAATTCTTAGCTAGGTACACGTTTATTCTTGAGAGACCCCTATTATTTTATTAGAGTTATCCTACATTTTTCTGTTGATGTAATTGCATATTTGCTGGTATTTTATTTGTAATTAATCGCCTCTTGTTTCATGAGTAGTAGTCATTTGGCTGATGAATATTCATTTATCAAATCACATAAAGGAATCATTTGACGTTATATATCTCTTGTCGACAACAGAACTGTGGAGAACGTCACCATATCGTGAAATACATGTCAAGCTTTGTCGTCAGAACTTACAAAGCCAGTTTTCATAAAATAAAACTAAATACAAAATCTACTACTATTTTTATTCAGTAATAAGAAATAGGTTTATGAAGACCAACAACAGACAAGTCACAAATTTTTCATTGTTTACAGTTGACTAACATTTAAGATTCATAAAACGGAACCATCCCCATGCTGGTTCTGTTACCGTTTACTATGGTTTTGAACTGAAAGGCTGCTGTTCGCATTACTTTCACAATATATCCTTTTTCCCCTTCACAAACAAAAAGCAAACTGTTGATTTTATATTATTTTTAATTTGAACGAATCCAGTAAAACCTTTAGATTACTTGGGGACATTATTAACAAAACAATTTTGATAGAGATATAAACCGAACGGCTTGTGATGTGTTTTGAGATTCTGTTAGTTAAAACATTTCACACTATCTCCTGCCCCCAAAGAGACTTAAAAGAAGTCTTCTGATTCCGTTGCCAGGGGAACAACCGTTAGCAAGGTTAAATATTTCATTGTGTTATATCTTAAACTTGATTTCAGAATCTGTTCACTGAACCACATAGTACTGGGGATATCAGTAATGGATAACTGGGGGTGTTGAAGAGTGACGTCTACGGATACTGAAGATCAATATTAATGGAACAAACGGTCGCATATGGATTAACACAATTATAAACTGTTAGCTATTAATAAAACATAAATCGAAAAATCTTTTCCCTCTAATTTGTTTGTTCTGTTGAATCTCACATGCATATGTTGTTCAATGGATACTCCTTGCACATCATCAGAAAATCATGGAGTAATTAAAAAATAACTTTTGAATTTTTGTTGCATTTCATATATGGTACATTTTAAATGCACTGGTGTTATCAAAATCTGGAGTATCGCTGATTAAGATTATTAAAGTTTGCACCGGACTACCTTATTGACATAGATTGTCATTGCGGTGTGATATTTTGTCTCCCTCTATTTGCAGTTAGGTTTTACTAAGCAATTCAAAACCCAATAACTCTTAATCTTTGTGCCGCACATATGTATGTTGAAAATCTTTGCGACTCCCTACTATAAACGTAACCCGTTTGTCAGTTATAAAACGACCGGTGAAACAAAATAGGACAAGTCATCATGACGCACACACCACCTAAGTTCATGCAATGAAAAAACACAATAATCAACTTCAAACTAAATTTATTCCCGTGCACATTGTGATTTTGTATTTTTCACCTAATACCGTTCCCATCAAAAACAGAATGGTTGTGTGTCATCCCCGACATCGTCTGATAGCAGTGTGCAAAACAAACAATGAAACGTAAAATGGAATAAAGTAAACAGTCTTACGTTTTATGTGAAGCTGCCAGATAGTAGTGTGTGATGGGCTGTGACATGTCTTGACACACTTGCAAATGCGTTGCATCGAAAACATCACATTCTTGCGAGAGCAAGAGTGCGGTAAAACCTGCACAAATAGCAATGAAAGTGTTTGTCATTCACTGAATATAACTGGGGTCTTTTATTTTCAAATAAACATAAAGTAGAATAAATGTAAGGCAAAATCCCAATTTACAGTGATTGTATTTACTGTAGGATAAACAGTACTTAGAGCAGGGCAACACAACAGTTTTGAGGTCTCCTGTAAATATAAACTTAGTTAAACAAACACGGTATACATATATACATATAATATAGTATATTATAAATGACACCATTGAGAACCATGGTTCGTCTTGCAACTTAGAAACCGAATGCAAATTGAAGCACTGGAAGATTTTGAATTCTAGTGTAAATTAATTCCAAAACCATTTATAATAATTCGGAGAATCATGATTTTACAGAAGTTTAAATCTATGTTTGAAAACAAACCAAACTACCAAGGGAAAAAGTGTAAAAAGCTCATATCCAACTAACTGGAAACACTTTGGTTAAATGAAAGGCGTAAGAAACTAGGATAATTTAAAGTGCAAAACACTTTCAAGATAAATAATAGCTTATGTTTATGAAGAATATCTTGCATATTTTCGAAAAACGTGTACTTCAAAAGTAGTGACTAAGCGTCTGCATTGTTCTTAACCACTATCATCCGTTTGGCCAAAATGCGTTGAATGAACTGTGGTCTTTTGCACTTGCTCATGGATTTGCACTTTGAAATGAAAAAAAAATAATTCACACGAGAGCCTTCATAGATTTGGATCAACCCACTTACCATCTATACCCATGAATCCCAAATCTCGGTTTTCCGCCGATGGTTCATACGTGCTGATCAATTTCTCGCATTGTTCCACAGTCACTCCACCACGCTGAATACGAATACATACACAGATGCCAGAGAAAAAAAAGTAATATAGCGATTAGGAATGATGGGAGAAAATGAGACATACTAGGGAAACACTTAGTTGTTCGTTTAAGTTTATTCTTCAGAATGGAGAGCCTAACTTACAAATACAATCCAGAGAACACAAAAGCAAGTAAGAAAAAAATGTGTAGTTTTACATCTGATAATCACTGAAATCTGGTGATTCACAAACACAGTTCCATGGGCGGTGCACCGAGCACACCCAGGAGAAATCAAAATTAACCGATATATTTACTTATCACATATTTAATCAAATCCTCTTGATTTTCTAAATTTCAGAAATACTTCAAACCCGTATCAATCGGTAAAAACTTGAGGTTATACAAAGTTTGCATGAGGCTGGCATTTAGTACCAGGAATAAACTGTCTTCATGGTATCTTAACCTGGATTTTTAGTGTATAGTTATTTCACAAAATTATGGGGAACAATTGAGATCAAATAAAATTTAAGTTTAAAGTTAATTTTACTCGAATCCTTAGATTCTACGGGTTCGAATTTTGTTCTTCAAAGAAATGTTTTCAAGCTGTATTTATGGTTTTCTTATGGAAAGCGAAAGCGGAGACATTAAAATAGCGTACATCGAAAACGTTTACTACACTAGCGGATACATATCATTTGTGAAATAATGAAGATGATATAATGGTCGCTATTCATGAAATGTGCTTGCTTGCAACAAATAAAAGAGAAACGCGTGACTCATTGACTTGAATATGTTCTCTGTTCTATAAAAACGTAAATTTTTGCATAATTTTCCATGAAAACGTATTTAAATATTGCACAGTATTTCTCAATTAATCCAGACGAGTGCATACTGATTCGAACAAAATGACTGGTAACCGACCATGTCTGGTGCAAAACAAGATGTTCATTTCATTATAATCTCGAATTTTTTCCCCGAACAGGTGTCTGGACGGCGTTTTATCCAGTTAATGAAGGCAATTCATGCTTTCCATGGCATGTACTGTAACTGTTGAACCACATCGGTGAATTTCAACGTGTTTGCATTCGTCCACCTTATTAACTGACGTACTAGAATCAATCAGTTTGCCACTAACCGAACTGCACGGGTTATTATCTTCGCATATCGACCACAAATTCGGTGGACGAGGTATTGGGTTAAAGAAACCATTCCCTATATATTTAAGAACCTTTTCTATGTGAAGATAATGGAGTGTATCACCGAATTTACATTATAAATGTAGCGGTACATGATATCAGTTAGTTACTTTGATGTTCATTGTATAGAAATATATTGGTAGCTTAAAGAAAAGACGATCTTTGTGAAAATGTGTTAAGTAAGCGCTTCGTAATTTCAAACATGATTGATCTGTCGTTTTGACCGAGCAATGTCTAATGAATGCTAGTGGGTAGTTCAATCAAGTATTACTTTTTTTCTGGAGATTTTGGTAATGCTGTAAGCATCAAAGACCTCATTGAAAGAATTAATTCACTAGCGTTAACAAACCTGCCTGAATGTTCCTTCAACAAATTGTGACTAGACGGTCATCCAAAGATGTGTTTTCGATAACGCAAAATAACAACAGACCGTAGAACGTAAAGCGGGTTACAGTGATGTCCTCTTTGAAATACTCGTTAAAAAGCTGAAGCAAACTCCGATATTTGGGTCTATAAACTACAAGGGGGAGAAAAACTCAGTTTCAGTGACCCGATTCATTTTCACCGCAATTGAACAGTTTCCTCTGTGTAGTAATACAGAAACTGTCTAATGATCCTATGTTTATGCAGTATATTTTTACTAACCCACTGTAATTCGAGCAATTCTTTCATCCAAATCATAAGAGAGACAAAAAAGCCAAAAAATACACAGTGGGATGCACAAGAAATGCTTCCACTTTTCCTCTTATTCAGAAAAATGTACTGATCGAGTAGTACACCTAACTGACATAACTGATCGATCGGTTAACAGTTACAAGTATTCCGTGACACCTTGACTACAGGGGTATTGAAAGAATCACCAGAACTATGGGATCACAAATTAAGTCCTTTTTTCAACTAATGGAGCTAATATGTTTGTCATAACAATTGGGGGAGTATTTTGATTCAGAATATGCAAAAAGCAACGTTTGATCAAAATAAAATCTTGCTTGATTGGGCAACTATAAGTTTAACAATCATTTATTTCTGTACCGTATCTACATTAAAATAACCAATATGTTTTTTTGCATCTCATAATTGTACAGTAAATCAAAAACTTCACCTGAACTACAGGTGCATTTTGTTGTGCATTTGTTTGCATAGCCGTACTCTTTGTCCGTCACACAGTGTGGAGTCTACGTAGTTAACAGAAAACCTCAACCCTTAAGACCTGTCCCAAAACAACGGCAAAATAAGAGTGGATATTTTGGCTTTTCAAAAGGATGAACTACATATATATATATATTTTCGGCATGACTGGCGGGGAGCTCGTGCCAGACAGATAGGTTTGCCACTCTACGGAATAAGCCAAGGATAAGAATACATTTGGACAGAATATTCATAGAAATACCTATCTTATGAACCCTGAATATCTATAATATAAACTTTTCAAGTTATAATGAATCTAAAGAAATATCAGTTCACCTATTAAAAGTTGCTATGCGAATATAAGGAAGATACAATTCGCAAGTTTGGGATCCCAACCCAAAACTTACTGCAAATATGCTTCACAGAGTTTGTCCACAAAAAGTAACAAATTTCTATCATTATAGTGAAAACATCATCATCCAACGTTGAAACACGGTGAAAAAATTGGCCGACTGCTGCTAAGCCCATAACCTTCACTAAATAAGCTTGATTACGTATCATGGATGGGGAGTTGGTGCTATGCAACACAACTATCACGAGCAGCTCATGTAGTGTATTCAAGGCAAATAGGTATCAAAGAATCGTTGCGATGATTCTAAATTAGGTGTTGTCAATTAGATACCTCTAAAGTCTATTTCAGAAGAGAGGGAAAACAGTCTTTTGGTCGGTCATAGAAAGTGTACATTTGAACTGCGCGCCTTAACATTTTCTCAGGCATTGCGTACTAATAATAAATGATACTAATACCAATATATAATATAATAATGATATCAATATGATATTAGTCTTTCTTCGTTGTATTGTCCATTATGGTTTCAGAATACTCAGTCAGAATGTACTTCCTATTCCAATATATAAAAGAAGAGACACCATTTGTGAATAAAATCTTCCTTAGTTTCTCGCCTCGTTTGTACTTCATCTGCTATTCTAAATAGTGATCGGTCGACTGATGAATGCGGTTGAATACAACAACCACGTGGTCCACGTTGTGTGCAGATAAATGGTTTACCACGAAATTTCCTAATGCTCACTGTAATTTAATTACTTCATCGACCGTTTAAAGCCATTTGTACCTTAGAAGCAAAAAACACTTTCGACTATTTTGGTTTCTTATGGAGTTGGAATCTCCTGTCAATCAAGAATCACACATTGGTTTCCCTAAATCATTTGCTTGCTGTGGTTTATGTTCCAGCAGTGTATGGGATACCCGTCTGCTGTTGGAAATATATGATGCCACAAGTCAAATCGAAACTGGCTATGTGCATTCCACAGGATGGATTTGCACAAAGATAAATTTTCTATTAATTAAGATGTGGCAATATAATTTCATCAACTGTTATTATCATGAAATGACACATTCATTCTTATTGGCAATCCAGATAGTGTTCTTCATCTGATAGTATATGGTTGATGAGTCGATCACAAACACCGAAACGTCTGTACACAATAAAAATCAATGGCATGCGGAATACCGCAACAACGGGAAAACACTTCAATAAAGCTGGCATTAAAGATAACGACTTTCTCTTTTAGATCTGAAGAACAGGGAGGAAAAATACGGTGAATGTGTAACAATGCAGGCTAACATAACTTTAAAAATGAAAATTAGGGGGACGCCAGGATTGACAGCTGTTTCTTGCTTTTGTTCCACAGTGTTGATGTGCAACTAATTGAGTGGTATTTCGAAGATCCTCACATACCAATGGGTGTGATTCAGGAAAACCTTTAGCAATCGAATTTACATCTAGTGAACTAAAAACCATTGAGCAACTCAGGTATAGGTATTGCAATCTGTTCATCGCATACATCCAACAGGATGGGGGGAGGTGAGACAGATTATTAGGTTGTGTATAGAAAAATTAGCAAATTGACGATTAGTCTTTCCTAACTCCAGGAAGAAGCTATTACATTTCTCACAGATTTTCTTGCATACACAAATTATGTTTCTCAGATTAGTTTTAAAATAAATGCAATCGATACCCAAGAGCTAAATTTTCAATTAAACTGATATAAGTTCCTCAGCAACGCCTCTATCATTTACAAAACCCTTTTCATTGCCACGATGTAGCCACCTTAGCAGATGCGATGATAATTCGTCAGAACGAACGTATCAAGTCTCAACCGGACAACAGAAACTAAAGTAAAAAAACAAGATAACAGGAAAGATGTTCACAACTGCAAGCGTTGTCGAAACTAGCGAGAAAAGAAAAATCGGAAAAGGAATCAACAAACGAACCAACTTCGAAAACCAGGGTGTTAGGCGCAAGAGTACATATTAGTTGCCATGTTATGACGGAACTGACTGAACAACGGTGACTTGCAGTCAACTGAAGTATAACTACTCGAAACATTACCGGACTGAAAAATAATGGGCGCTTGAAAAGCCCAAGTCGCTGGAGCTCACTCTGTTTACAACAATAAAACTTTGATCACCTGGGGAAATAAGGAATACATTGAGTTGAACAGTGAAATTTACAATGTCAGTAAGTAGTCAAGTCTCAGGAAATATAATTACCCTCGCGTTCTTGCGTTCCTTCTGACATGCTAGGTTTTGCAAATGTTCATTTTTCCATGAACGAGGAAGGTTACTTGAAATGACGAATAGGACGATACCTTTTTTTACCAGCTCACCTCGTTAG